CCATTTGGAATGTTTTCAGTTATTTTGAATTGTGAACAATGTTGCCATTACTTTTCTTGTAAATGTCTTTTGATATAAAGGTGACTTCTAAATGGGCTAGTATTTTCCTGGATTATACCAATTGATTTGTCTCATATGTCTTAGGCAAATTATCAATATATTTCCAAGCACTTTTCTGTCTTTTCTCAAAATGAAAAACTGTCACAAACATGAGTTCAGGTCTCCGTCATCCTCCAATATCTCTCTCCCTGAATCGGCTTCATCTTGTAGATGAGAAAAGTGACTCGGCCAACACGATAGTGATATCGAAGGTAGGTTAAAGCCAGGTGTCCTCTCCTCGTATGGATGCCGCCATCCCCAGAGCAGGCACGGTAGAGTAGGAGGGAGAGTATTAAAATATTTTCCTAATCCCAGTCATTTCCCTGTGATTAGGATTATGCAATGAAGAGCTATGGTTTGGGCGCTCGGGTGTGGGAACAGATGCCTGGCAGAGTCAGGGCAGATGCATGGTGAGTTGGGATCTCAGGCAGTGAAGGTCCCAGGGGGCTCCCTCCCACCAGCCTGGGGGAGTGGTTCAGGCTACCCCGGCCAGGTAAGCACCATGCATGCTTCTGTTCTCCTTGGGATTTGGCCGATTCAGGCAGGTGTGGCATAGGAGAGCCTGGCATACAGGTGTTTGTGTGCGTGTGCATGTGCATGTGCGTGTGTGTGTGTGTGTGTGTGTGTTGGAGTGTATAGAGACACATAACAAGATGGTTGCTCTCTGGAGGTGCCCACTTGTCATGTTGCCGGACTGCACATATTTCTGGAATCCTCTCCCACCTTGTTTGTGCTTCTCGCTCATTATCTGCACCTCTCTCCTCCCCTATCCGTTGCCTCTGACAGCTGTTTTATCTCCAAATTTCCAGGCTCACTCAGAATTGAAGGCTAATGCCTATACCACTGTCTGTGATCAATGACCATCGCGGGAAGAGGGAGGAAGGTCGGGGGGCAAGCAGGCCTGGCATCGGGTGCAAATGAGAGGCAGTCAGGAAGCCTGGGTGCCGGTCCTGGCCCTGCCAGGGATGGACTTTCTCAGAGACCCCGGGGGCCGAACTGGCCATGTCGAGCAAATAAACCAAACCCTTTGAAAATGACCTTCATCCTCTTAGCAAGCAGTAGCCTCTCCCCTCTTTTCCTGTCAGGCATCCTTGCCTGACAGGCCTTTTTTTTTTTCTTTCTTTCTTTCTTTCAACTGCCTGGCATTTAGTCAATACCTTTTATGTGGCAAGCACGTGTCAGGGGCCAGGGACACAGATCCAGATCGGGACGCACTCTGCGAAGTGTCAGTGTGATAAATGGTCTGGCAGCAGCAGGCCCAGGGGGCTCTAACCTGGTCTGGCTGTGGAAAGTACTGGGGAAGGCTTCCCCGAGGAGGGGCCTGGCAGGAGACAGCCAGACTGGCCCTGCTGTGGAGTCAGGCAGGGTGCTTCAGGCTGAAGGAGAGCCTGGGCAAGGACGAGGGGACACGAATCGGCAGCGCCAGCCAGGGGAGCCAGAAGCAGTTCCGTGTGGCTGAAGCCTGAGGCCCACGGGCCTTACAAAGGGGTTTGAGTTGGAAGGCGGGCATGTGCTTCTCCAAGCCGACTGGGCCCCCGAAAGCACTTGGGAAGCCTATGAGGAGGCCGACTCCGGGGCTTAGTCCAGCCTGGAGAGTCAGAAGCCCCTCTCACAGGGTCCCAGGAGAGCCCACACCGGCCCAGGACACACCAGGGCTGGGGAGGGGGCAGAGAGTTCGAAGCAGGGGAGAGGCAGGCACAGGGGAGCCAAGTCCCAGGGCTCTCTTGGGCCTGGCTGGAAAGAAAAGGGGAGGGCCTGAGGGAAGCCCCTGGAACTGTGAACAGTATCCCCAGGAGCCGCTGCCAGGACCAACCACCACTGTGTGCTCCTCAGCCCGTGTGGCCTGCGGCCGACACGGGGTGACCAGCTCCTCCAGGCAGGACGGTGGAGCGATGGCAGAGGCGTCCCTCCCACCCCATTCCCACGCCACCCACCTCTTCTAATGGTGTGACCCTGAGGGGCCATCTCTCACCCATCCCTTTAACCTAAGTGAAACCCGATTTCCACATCCCACACGGCTCCTTATTCAAGGCTGCGTGTTCAGAGCATGTTGGGGGAAGGCGGGGAGGAGGGGTGAGGCCGTGTTTTCAGGCTAAGTGGGAGGAGGTTTCCCCAGTTGTCACATGGAGGAAGAAGGCTGTGTGATCGCTACATACCATGTGCTTGTGATCCTCCTCGATGTCTCTCCAGGAAATGGTAACGGAGGATTCTGATACGCAGGACGTAAGGTAGTTCTCCAGTCCAGAGACGTGCCGTGCTCAAAGTAGCTCACCTCCCAGGGTCTCCCACTTCACAGGACAGCATCCAAGGTCCTCACCCAAACCCCAGGAGCCAGGCATGCCACCCCTGCTTTGCAGCTTCAGCCCTGCTTCTGCCTTTTCCAGCCCTACTTTTACAAGTAGGACCAATGAAACCGGGCAGTTTCACACCTGGATGCCTGTGTTTATGCCAAGTTCTCTGACAGAAACGGCTCTCCCACCCTTCCCCCTCTGGCTCTTTCTCCAAGACCCAGCTCTCCGTGATACCCCTCCCACCCCACACGCACCTCCGTCACACACCTCAGCCGTTCCTGGGAGCAGACCTACCCCACGGCCCTGTGTGAGCCTGAGTGGGGAGCACTAACACAGGAAGTTTCTGTTTCCCTTCCCCTGCCCGGCTTGACCAGAAATTCCTCAAGGACAGGGCCTGTGGTATTACATTTTGTCTTTCCAGGGTCTGGCACGTGGTAGTAGAAACTCAACGGATATTTGCTGAACCAAACAGAATCCAGATGAATGAGAAATGCCTTCAGACGTGTGAATGTTGTGATAATTTAATAGCTCCTGGGGGCTTGCTTGTTGGTATTTGTAGGTGGCTTTTAAAACCTCTGTCTAGATGTGACACCCATCCCCCTATACTAAGTGTAAAGCAACAAATTTAATGAGTAAACTGAGAGTGATTATTTGCATCTCAAAAGGTGGGAGGGGCAGGTTTCCTCTAAACATTAAGCCTTTGCTGGAATTTTCAGAAACTTGCTTTACAGATCATTAACTTCAGGGATGGGGGGTAGGGAACAGGAGTCATGAAGTTACCTCTAAGAGTCTGAACTCTGAGATGCCTCTGAAAGGAAGCAGAAGGCAGAAGATCTTGGAGCGGAACAGGACTGGATTCAGACTCTGACTGTATTAGCCGACTGGCCTCAGGCAAGTCCCTTAACCTCTCTATACCCCCATAACCTTATCTTGAGACACTACACTGACTTTGGGAGACTGTTGTAAAGATCTAAAGGATCCTATATGGAGTACCTTAGCTCATAGAATTTCTCCAATAATGGTAATAGTATTGTTGTTAGGATGTTGCACATGGAAGAGAGAGGAAGGAATCTTAAAAGATTTATAGGACTTTACCTTGGATTGCAGGAATAAGGAAGGCAGAAAGTATCCAGACAGGAAGGACCAGACCACTGCGGCAGTCTATTTTTGGTCTCACAGCACTTCACAGTTTTTTATATTTTTTTAAACTAACTCTTTCCACGCTGAACACACACATACAGAGAGCTGGCCACAGCATTGTGTGGTGTGGTTGATGCGAGGGTCTCGGACTCTAGAAAGCCTACCACTTACTAGCTCTGTGATCTTGAGAAGATCTCCTAACTCAGTTTCCTAATCTGTAGAAAGGAGACAATAAACTACCCATCTTTTAGGGTTGCCATAGGAGATAAGGAATGTAAAGCGCTTGGCCCAATGCCAGGTGGGCGCTAGGTCCATAAACGGAGCATTGCTGTATTATGAAGTGGCCCATACTAACAAACAGCAGTAAGTGCCCCGTTGGAGGAGGAGCTTGCTCTGGGAAGAGGGAGGGAGGGGGGCAGTCACTTGCAAGAGCACTGACCCCAGACTTTGGAGACCACCTGACACCAGAGGTGTATGACCTGGGCCTGTTCTGTAACACGGAGGGTTTGCCCTAGGTAGTCCGGCAGGTTCCTAAACTAGCACAAGGCCAATCTAGCACAGCTCCTCTAACAGCTTCTCTCAGGCCTGGGGGGCTAGTGTCTTGCCCAGAGGCCTCCCCCTACTGCAGGGTGAGTCCTCCTCATTCATGAGCCAGGCTGCCCCTGCAAACCATCCCTTCCTTCCACCTGGACGCGGGCACTTTGCACGTTGCGTGGTCCTTACCGTTGCTGTGCCTGTCCTCTAGATTGGTGACAGCAGTACCCAAGTACGAATAGGAGAGCCACCCACGCTTGAGCGAGAAGCTCGTCCGGCTGAGGGAAAGATGAATGAGCACTTTCCCTTTGGAGAGATTTCTGGAATCTCCTGGGTTCCTAACTCTCTTGTAGTTTCCTGTCCTTTGCGACAAATGTTTGGAAACAGGTGAGATTCCGTTACCTCCCTCTGGGTGGAAAGAGAAAGAAAGCACCGCGGCTTAGGGCCTTAGGGCCCGGCGGCAGGGAAAGCCCTTTGCTGCTACTTCCTCCCAGACGTGGAAAAAGTGACAGGGTCTCTCCAGGGGTCCCCGGGGCTCTGAGAACCGGATCCCCCCCCAGGGGCTGGCAGTGCAGGGGCCGCTCCCCCTGGTCGGGCCCGGCCTCCACTCGGGGACCCTCGCGCCTCGGGAAAGCGCAGCAGATGACCTTGACCTCTGAGGAGAGGGCGCCCGAGTTCTCTGGAGAAGCTGTCCAAACAAAGGGGGCATTCCTCAGCTTCCAGCCGCAGCCACCGAGCCCCTCCCGAGCCCGGGGGTGAGGCGCACGCCTCCCGGGAGCCTGCCCGGCCGCGCCCCGCGCCCCGCGCCCCGCGCCCGCTCGTCCTCCCGCCCCGGGGCCGCCGTGGGGCCCGGCCCCGCTGCTCCAGCCCCTTCCGCCGCCCCGCCTTCTGCCCCCGCGCTCGCTCGCTCGGCTGCCGGCCTCCCCGGGCGCTGGCAGGGCCGGGAGCCCGCCGCCCATGCCGCCGCCCTGCAGCCCCGGCCGCGCCCGCTGCCCCCGCGGCCCCGCAGGCAGGAGGCGGCCCCGACCGAGCGCGCAGGGCCCGAGCAGGGCCCCGCGGGATGGAGGGGGCGGCGCAGCCCGCGGGCGGCGGCCCCCAGTGAGTACGCGGGAGGGAGCGGGGGGGATGGGGAGGGGGAGGCTGGGAGGGTGCGGGGGGGGGGAGGCTGGGAGGGGGGAGATTTGGAGGGGGGACGCTGGGAGGACGAGGAGGGGGGACGCTGGGAGGACGACGGGCGGGAACTGGGAGGGTGCTGGGTGGGGGAGGCTGGGAGGGTGCTGGGTGGGGGAGGCTGGGAGGGAGGAGGCTGGGAGGGCGCGGGGGGGGGAGGCTGGGAGGGTGCGAGGGGGGAGGCTGGGAGGACGAGGAGGGGGAGGCTGGGAGGGCGCGCGGAGTGGGGGGAGGCTGGGAGGGCGCGGGGAGCCGGCCTGCGCGGGATGCGGCTCCGCGGGCTGCCCCTCAGAAAGCTGTCTGTGTCCGGCTGGCATTGCCCCAATCCCCTGCTTTCCGAACTGAACTTTCAGAAGAGAGGATTCGGTGGCTGGGCTGCAAAGAGAAAGTTGGTAAATTCTAGATCAACTGGTGGGAGGAAGTGATCCCGCCCTCCTGAAGATACTCCTCACACTCCACAGCTTCGGCTGTTGGGGCCTTTGCATTCTGCCTGTGTTTTGCTTCACGGACCATGTACAGTCCCGAAACGGGCATGAAACGAATTGTAACAAAGGACTACAGAGGGACTTGCCATTTCGGAGAACTTTATGGTGAACTTTTAGTTAATGATGAAGTGAAAAAACTAACTCCCAATTTGTGACTTATGTGGAAGTGGGTTTCTGTGAATGCAGTTTACTTCACGTGGGACACATCTAACTGCATGATGTTAAAGGAGCATTTTCTCAGAGGGTGGGGTAGACATTAGTGCCCTGAGCCGCTGCTCCCTGCTGGCCCCACTGTCCCCTGCTCACTTGCATTCTCGGTGAAGACATTGACATCAACGATGCCACCGAGGAGCTGTGTATTTCTGGCAAGTCCCTTAAACTCTCCAGATGAGGGGTAGTCTCCTCTACAGAATGAGGGAAGTGGGGGGTAAGTGATCACCTGATCACTGAGGGCTTGGAGAGAGCCCAGGCCTTGGGAGGAGATTTGCATCCCTAATCCAACTTCCTTTTAGTTCCTTTTAGTTGACTGAATCGCTAGGTGCCTCAGTTTCTCTGTCTGTGAAAAAAAACGAGGAAGATAATCCCCTTCTGGCAGAGTGTGTGAGGGTGTTGGAAAGCTCTCGCAGGCCTGCCTGGCCCAGAGCAGATGTGGATGGGAGTCCGTGACTGATCACGGCCACCCCAGGAGCACAGCCCCACGCGCGTGTTGTGGCTTGTACACAGCCGGGCACCTTCAAACAGAGGGTCCCATCCTGTGTGGTATCTTCCTGAGGTCCCTGATCCGCCTTGGCTCCCGTTAGGAAGGGAAGAGCTTGTTGGCTCCTAGCCGATGCTGACATCCTCCACTGAGACGGCCTGTCAGCAGAGATGGAGCCTGGGGGTTGGGAGGTCTGGCCCCTGTTTCCACTCTGGTCCACACTTGGCTGTTGTTTGAAGCTTCATTGTGCCCCATCTGTAAAATGGGGTTAGAAAAACTAGACCACTGCTCAGACTCAGAAGCAAAAAACTCAATGAATAACTTATTTGTGCCATCCAATGATTTATGCTTCTCTCCCTTTTATTTTTTTTTAAAGATTTATTTACTTATTTGAGAGGCAGAGAGATAGCAAGAGAGAGCATGAGCAGAGAGGAGAGGGAGAAGCAGACTCCCTGCTCCAGGGAGCCTGACTCGGGGCTCAGCCTCTGGACCCTGAGATCCTGACCTCAGCTGATGCTGAACTGATTCACCACCCAGGTGCCCCTGATTTATACTTTTTAAAGCTCTGTTCCCAGGTTGTTCTCATGTGGACAGGGCTCCATGCCAAGCCACTTTGGGGACCCAGGAGGTTGTTGGAGCTACTAGCCGTGCTGGGTCTCAGGAGCTCTTTCTGTTTTCTCCTCCAGAGGGACCCAAATAGGGAGCACAACAGCTAGCTCCATGGAGATGACCTCAGCTGTGGAGAGAGGTGGTCCTGAGCCACAGCTGGATAATGGACACCTCCCAAGACCCTGGTCCTGCTCTCTGGAAGACAGAACACCCAGCCTATTGGCACCCCAGCATCCCAGGGCATGGGGGCTACAGCTCCAAGGTACCTCTGTGCTGGAGTCCAAAGTGAGGGCCTTGAAGGAACAAATGATGGCAGGCAAACCGGGAGTGAGCCCCTGCCTCGCTTCTCACGAGCGGCCACCCAAGAAACCCAAATGTAGGCGAGTCAAGGTGGGTGGAGCCCGGCCTCTGTCGGAGGGGTCTTCCCTGCCAGAGGCCGAGGTGGTCCTCCCCACTCAGAGTCTGACCTGTGGGCAGCTGGACGGCGAAGTCAACAAGGAGGAACCTGCCAGGAACAGGGGGCCCAGACGCCCCAGGCCGCCTTCTCCTGGGCCTGAGTGCTGCAATGGGAGGAGCCCGTGGCCTCCGGAAGCAGTACGGGCATTGCCTGACAATGAGAGGAGCCTGCTGCCGGGGCCTGGCTCTTTGCAAGAGAGCCCTGTCCACAGAGTCACTCCAGGCCAGCCTGGGGGCCCTGGTCCTTGTAACAAAATCACCGTCATGCCCAACCTGCAGAAAGGAAGGTCATATGCCCTTCAGGATGGTCTTATCATGGGGAGAGACCTGGACAATTTATCTCTGACCTGCGAGGAGGACTTTGTTCCCAGGCCAGCCCTGCTAGGGGGCCTCTGGCGAGCTGGAGACCTGGGGGCTCTGGGCACTGGTGGCAGTCCCTTGTCCCTGTCTGACCGGGTGGAGAGGAACCGCCTTCTGCTGCAGGAGATGCTAAATGTTGGGGGTCAGGCCCCCCACAATGTGGGAATCCCAGCCTGGACTCCATCCTGGGACGGAGGTGTACCAGGTGAGGCTCACTCTGTAGATCTGGGTGGTGGGAGGCAGGAGGGAGTCCAGGAGGAGACGAGGGGATGGAGGATACCTGTGGAGGGTGGGGTGGGAGATGGAGATGGGCGCAGCTGCCTGCCACCTCATTTCTCAAGATGTCCTCTTCTTCTTGCTTTGACGTAGATTCGTTACCACCTCCCAAGCGAGCCTGTCTGCTAAAGAGCCCAAGACCCCCAGACCAATTGGAGGCTGCCCTCTGTACTTGGGGAGGAGGCTACCATGATTTATTTCTTCCCCGTGGCTTCCAGCCCTTGCCAGGGTGGCTTTTTGCACCTTCCTCCAGTGACTTGCCCCCAGCTCCCAACGGACCTCACTGGCTCCTGGTGGAAAACCTACCCACAGAGAGGTCAGGCGTTCTGTCCGGTGGGCTGCACTCAGGCGGCAGCACTGCAGGGATGTGTAAATATTCAGGCCCAAGAACGCCTTCTTTCACCTCCTTCTTCCCACTCCAAAAGTCCGTTCCTTACCCCACACCTGAGAGGACCCACACGGTCCCCTTGGCCCATGGCAGTGCCCACCAGCTGCTACCATGAGAAGCTGTGTCTCCACTTCTTAGGCTGAGACACAGAGTAGGGTTGAATTTATGTGGGGAGTAAACTGCTTCTGGAAGAAACTTTCTTCTCTGTTTATTAAGTGGCAGCTGAGAGCCCAGTTTCTGGCTCTGCCCTCATCTCCACTTCTCTTCTGTGTCCTAGAGCGGCCAGCAGGGGACGTGGACTGGGACTCCGGCATCTCCCTGCAGGACTCAGAGCAGAACAGGTGAGAACAGGTGCCCATGGGGGTCACCCATCCTCTCCCGCCCTCCTTGCCATGGCCCCTCGTTTGCCCAGCACCAGGACAGGGGAGAAAGCAAGAGGTAGGCAGACCTGCCCCCTGCCCCCGCACCAGCAGACCGGAGGACGGTAGGCCACCGTGGACCCTTGTATTGGAGACCCCAGGGAAGGGGTCAGTCTCCACCAGTGCCCACTGGTGCCCAGATGCTGCTTGAGGAAGACCCGTGGGTACAGGGCACGGTGCCTGAAACACTGCCAATGACCAGCTCAGAGTCCCTGGGAGTCCTTTCCCCAGCCCAGGGCTCTGTCTCTGCATCTTTAAAGCGGCCCAGATAGCATCCCTCTGGAGTGTGGTGAGGCTAACACGAGAGAATGGTTGGGAAAATCCTGAGGGCAAGTCCACAAATGCAAAGCTTTTACTGCCCAGTTCCTTTCCCATCTGAGTGGTGTGCTGGCTCCTGTAAAGGGGTTCATCTCTCCCAGCTTCACCTGTGACGTCCCACAGATTTTGCTGCAGCCCCTCCACCAATGTCTCTGGGCAGCCGGCACAGCGGGGTGGTCAGGGGAGTGGGACCACTTTCCGGAGTGGGTGGTGTCCTGACCTGGCAGGATGTGCGCTCTGTGGGGCAGTGGGGCCATCCGTGGGCCAGACCTGCCACCCCACGAGCCCGCTCAGAGGTTGGCCTCAGTCTTGGCTGAGCCCCTGGCTCCGTATTGCCAGCTGTGCAGTGACGTCACTTGATGAGGATCCTCTGGTTTCTGTGGAGGGCAGAGGTCAGCCTTGTTGCTTCTTTATCACCAGGCCATTCCCTAAATAAATTTCACTTTGTTTGACCTGCCCTCCAGAAAACGTGGATGGGGGCCCCGGGTCCTGCTTTCACAAATCGAGGGCTGCCCAGATTCAGGTCATCCAGCGTCTGCTTGGCCTTTGCAGAGGTCTTAGCCTAGGGCCTGGTGGAGAGGGGACTGTCTGGCTCCTTCGGTCCCTCATTATTTATGACTGGGAATCATCATTAACTCCCCTCTGCCAGGTCCCCCCGTAGCCTGGCCACGGTATGGAGGAGTGTGACTGCAGAAAGGACTGTGGTCCTCAGCGACACCCTGTCCTCTGCTTGTCCCCTCCTCCTTCCTGGGAAGCCCATAGAGGAGGCAACTGGGGCCTCCACTTCCTGCAGCTGCTTCTGCCTGCCACCGCTCACACCTTTCCTCCCCAGTCCGGAGAGAGGCCCACCTGGAAGATGTGGCCACTGGGGGTTTTGTCCAGAGGTCACTGTTGAAAGGAGAAACTGAAGCTCCTGACTTGCTTACTGGATAATAAGTAATAAAAAATATCTGTCTTAATGGAGGACAACCTCAACCATGGCTAAGGAAGGGACTTTGACTTTCCCCCTAGTCTTGTGAGGAGGTAGCATTTGTGTGGAATCCTCAGGATGGGGATTTCTGGGCTATTGTCTAAATTGCCAGGCCACTTGCAACATTTTAGGGTTCAGGGAGAGTATATGTGTGCAGGTGTAGGATGTGCAGGTGTGTGCACATATGTGTATATATATATGATGGGCAAGTGTGTTTGTGTGTGTGTGTGTGTCTATGTGGAGAAAGAGGTTGTCTTAGCTTTAGGAGTGTGCCCAGCATATACCTGGGCATAGAGTTGGCGTGGGGAAAAACTTTGTCCTCTGGTTTGTTTGGAAGGTCATGCAGAGTGCCCCATTGACCTCTTTCGGCAGCCTACACTCAGGCCCCTACTGAACAGACATCCAGGCCGAAGGGCCAGGGAACGTATCTAGTTCAAGAATGAAAGAAACAGCAGCCATGTCTTGGGACCCCGACCCCGCCCTTGGACAGAGCTCCTCATTTGGTACTTTTTTTTTTTTTAAGATTTTATTTATGTATTCATGAGAGACACAGAGAGAGAGGCAGAGACACAGGCAGAGGGAGAAGCAGGCTCCATGAAGGGAGCCCGATGCGGGACTCGATCCTGAGTCTCTAGGATCAGGCCCTGGGCCGAAGGCAGCGCTAAACCGCTGAGCCACCCGCGCTGCCCTCCTCATTTGGTTCTACTCCTGAGTCTCCTGGGCAGATATTAAAATAATCCCTAAGATACTGCAGGTTCCGTCTGTCCCCTAAGGGGGATTGCTTTATTGATGCCTTTTCTGTATGGCTGAGCTTCCCAAGAGACCTCTGAAATAAGGCATGCGTCTCTCAGCTGTCATCCAGGAGTGCCAATGGGTCTGCTGTCCTGGGGATTTAGTGTCCGTGCAGAGGGGCCTAGGGCCCTGGCAGTGGAGTGTTCTGAAGCTGTGGCCCGGCATCATGGGGGCTGCCCTTCAGGGGGTCAGGACATGCTCTGGCCCTGAGGCCTCAGATCTCCTCTGAGGGTCTGATGCAGAGAAGGTCCGGCTTCACGCTCAGGTTTAGCATCGGTGCCTTTCCGTATTGCGGTCAAATATCTATTTGACCACGTTCATCTAACACATATTTAGTTATAATTGTCTACAGTTGTTACTGCTTTGCATGGTGATAAGACAAGAAGCTCATGAAATGATGTTTACCGCAGAGCCTGAGACAAGTTGTCACTGTGTGATGGGGGTGCGGGCCAGCCTCGGGTGGGGGGCAGGCACTGAGAGAGTTGGCCATGTGGGTGGGACACCTGAGGTGCTGCAGGAACACCAGAAGTGCCCTGGGACCCTAAATGCTACGGGCCAAATGCAGAGGAGACCTCCGACACTGACCCCAGGGCTGTCCCCTCTACTGAGGGGCAAGAGAAGAAGGTGGAGTCCTGGAGAGCTGGACCATGCCCGTCGCCAGTCCTTCCCTCCAGAAGACCATGCCAGCACCGCCCTCTTGCGGCCCCTCTTGTGTGCCGGGGCCTGTGCTAAGTGCTCTGCCCACATTCTCACTTTATCCTAATAACTAACTGTAGTGATTGTTTCCCTGACAAAGAGACCCCTCTGGGGAGAGGTAAAGTGACTTGCCCAGGGTCCTACAGCTATTACGTATGGGAACCAGGATTTGCAGGCAGAGCTGCTTATGCCACACTGCCACAGCTGTCCTCTTCGCACCCCCTAGGCCACTCCTCGGGTGCCTGCCCCAGTGCCTACTGGGTGTTCTTGGGGATAGGCAGAGAAGGGGAGGTGACGGGCTCCACGGCCTGATCTTGTTTCTCTCTCAAGCCACTGTTGAGATGACTTGGGAAGTCCGGTTCTGATTCGGAGAGAGGATGAGGTGGGAGATGAGCACTTCAGAGAGGGCGAACGGGGACCGGTGCGGTCAGCCACCTGTTCACAGGCTGTCAGAGACAGGAGTGGGGAAGAGAGTGAAGCGGGTGCTCTGCTCAGGGGGACTCTGCCCTCTTCCATTCTTAGCAGCCCGTGGGCATCCCATCCCCACTCCATAAAATGGCCAGGACCAGCTTGGCCTCTCAGATTGCCCTAGGATCCCAAGTTACCCCGGCTTGTGCAAGACATATGCGAAGCTGGAGGTGCAGCAGCAATCAACGAAATCCTCAGCCCCGGCCCTGCACAGAAGGGAGTCAGGAGCAAAAAGCACCGGGCGTTGGGCAACTGCAGGTGCCAGGGCGCCCCCTTGAGGCCTGCTCTGGCTCAAATCAGCACCTTCCGTGTGTGATCAGTGCCCCAGACCCTCAAGCGGGTCTGCAGGGCTTTAATCATTGCTCTGCTCTGGGGAAAATGGAGAGTCTCTGGGCTTTGTTTTGTGTGTGCTCTAATAACGAGGGAAACTCCGAGGATTCCCTAGGTTGTGGACTGTGTCCCCATCCCTGCGGCAGAATCATGCCCATTTCAGAAGCTGAGGCTCGCGGAAAGCCCAGTGTCCCGTACTCACACCGCTTCATGAGAAGAGAAGGCCGAGTGCCAGCCTGCAGCAGCTCACACCCTAGTGGGTCCCACTTTTCAGGCACCCGTTGGGATTGCTAGAGGTCAAAACTCCCTGCCCCAAAGCAGTTTATAGACTCCAGTTTAAAGGGAGGCAGGCAGGGAGCCCCCAAGAATTTCAGAGGCCTGGCCTGTGGTTCAAGTGGTCAGGCCCATGGCTGGGAGGAAATCTCTGGCTTTTTAAAACTTAACATATTAACTAGCATTTTTGGAGAGCACCCTGTGACCCGACCACTGTGTAGGATTTCAGAGGGAATTGCCCGTTTTTGCGCTCACTGCCATCTTTGCCTGCACCAGCTCTGGCCATAGATCCTGCTGGTGGGTCTCCTCCTGGAGCTCCTTGGGGGCGGAAACTGTGCCGATCTTATCTCCAGGGCCCGGTTGCCTGCCAGGCAGCTGCACAGAACAGGCGCTCAGAAAATGTTTGGCAGAGGCACACACGCAGGAGTGTAGGTGGGCTTGATAGGATCTGGATGGAAACAGGAGAGGACACTCCAGGTGGGTGGGACCTGCAGGGATGCTTTCCTGGCTGAAGGCTTTTCCTGGCTGAAGGCTGAAGCGGAATGCATGGCTACTATCAGGATATAGGGTGGGAAGGCTCGCTCTCCATTTATGGAGACTTTTGGGACTGAGACTTGGGTTGGGCAGTAGGATACAGAGAGACATTCACTGTCTTCCTCCTACTGTACCCAGTGCCTCCGTAGGATGACCACATCTTTAGACAGTGCGGACCCTGGGCCCTGTGGCCAGCTACAGAGCTGGTGAGAGCATTTGGAGGTCACTCTGGCTTAGTGGTCAGGTTCTGGATCTTCTGGGTCCCTAGGATCCGGGGGCATGATGAGTCGTGGGGGTGAGCATGGGAGAAGAGCTACTTCTGTGCATCCCCAGAATTCTCAGGGCTGCAGGGGTAACTGAGGACCTCCTGAGGCAAGGGAGTAGTGAAGGATAGCAGAGCCGCAGCCTGTCCTGCATATCCCCAGCCACCGCCATCCTGCCCCTCAACTCAGATATACAGACATAGAAGGAAACTGGAAGAAAGCCCCCTTGGCACTCCCAAGCCTACCAGGAGTTAAAAAAAAAAATTAAGCCACTCACTAGTGTTCAAATACTGTGCTCTTGATTATCTAGTATTCTAAGTCTTGGGTGGAGAAGGAAGGATGCTAACACTTGAAGCCCTGATGCACACCTAGTGTCACCTGGAGCTGTCATGACCACACTCACATACAGAGGCTGTAGAAAGCTCATTTCCCATAGACCATCTGTGGGGGTTTAGGCTGAAGTTCAAGAAGAGGAAGCCCTCCTTGCTGGCCTCTAGAGTTGAGTTGGCCACTCTCCCTCCTATTTGGGGATGTCTTGAGCACCTGCCTCCTCTCCTCACCAGAGGGGCAGCCCCGTAGGGCATTTGTTAGCCTTCAAGAAGGCAAGAACAGAGCCAACCGCTCTGCTCCCCCTAAGTAAGAAGTTGGCGTCTTCAGGAAGCTCTGCTTGCCTCCAAGCAGATCCTCTTGAAAGTGTTAAGTGCGCTAGGTGTATCCGACAGCAGCCATTCTTAAGGATGCCCTCTTCCTTCTCTGTTAGGAAGTACGTGTTTCTTCTCTGGGCAACAGCTTCCCTCTGCAACCAGTCCCCTCTGGCTCCCATTCTATGGACACTGCCTTTTCTGTGAAGCTCTGTCAAGAGCTGTCTAGGGCAAAACCACCAACCGTTCTTGAGCTTTAAGATGATTTCCCTTCCAAACATACCTTCCCCTTGCAGATGACAAGGTGATCTCTTCGGCAGCAATTTCAGTTCATGGTTAGGGATTGTTCATGAGAGGGAGAGCAACTTAAAATAACAGCACTGACAATAAGAGCAAGAGTACTAGTGATGCTAGCACTGATCGAATCTTCCCCAGTGCCCGGCTCTGTGATAAGCTCTTTTGAGGAGCCGAACTCACTTATCGACTGAGCCCTTAGCTAGCAGATGAGGAAACTGAGGCTTATTCCCAAAGTAACCTGCCAGGGTGACCTGCTTGTAAGGGGCAGCCCAGCATTAGGACCCAGTTAGGCTACCCCAGAACTACTCTTGTCACCAGCACCCTGGCTCCAGCCTGTCAGTGTCCTGCAGCCCCAGGAGGAAGACGGCTGTGCTAGTGCACTCTGGATAGCTTCCCACCCTCGTGGTGCACGCAGTCAGGGATCCATGTCAGGCCCATCATTTCTCTTTTCCTCACTTGGGAAACTACACACAGTGTAACAGTGGGAGAGCTCAGTCCTTGGTCATCTAGAAGCTTCATTGTATTTAAAGATGGAACAAATTCTGGGCATAAAAGATGCCCAGATGTGTATGTTCTGTATGCTATACGTTCCCCCTCTCCCCGCTGCATCCTGGAATCTGGGAACTATCAGATCTCTTTATATTCCAAATGATTTCCCTGATTGAGGTTCCTGGGATGAAAGGGTTAGACCCAGACTTGCTGGAGCTTATTATTTTAATCCAGGATTATAATGGCTGCAGAAAGAGGCCATTCTGTCCTATTGATCCCCACCCTTGGCTAGAAGAGGAGTGGTGGCTGTCCTGACTTGAGATCTCCACCTGTCTGGCCATGAGGGGAGCTGAGGTGGGAGCTAAGCCTGTTTCCTCACCAGGAAGCTGGCTTGGATGGACAGGCCAGATGGGGGCTCATGCTACCTTTGTCCTTGAAATCAGCTTGGGACATTGGTGCTTGGAGGGACAGAGGGAAGGGCCACAATCCCCATGTGACACTCCCACTGTCCCCAGCAATTAGTTCCTTGTAGGTGTTGCTGCTTCTTGGTGGCCAAATATCTGTGGTGTGAACTCCCCAGGAAGAGGACCTCAGAATCCCCCCACCCAACCCTGTGGTACACCAGACCACCTGGCCAAGACCTGAACTCATGAGGTCACGGTGCAAGCCCCCCCCCCCCAGCTCCCACTGTTTACCAACGGGGAGACTAAGGCCCAGGGAGGACGAGCACTCAGGCCTTTAATCCCCATGCCCTGCCTGCTGAGCTAATGAGTCCCAGACATGCCAGCTTTCAAGAGGGTAGCAAAGCTGTCTCTTCTGAGATGGAATTGCCTAAGCCCAGCCATGCACTGACTGCCCTGGCCCTTCCAGGAAACTTCTACAAATGTGGGAGCTGAGATTGTGGGGTATGGTCCATGATGGGGAGGGGTTGGATCGAGGGCTGTGTGTGCCCTTGGCAGAGGCCAGGGCCAGATTAGACTGGAAAGCCTCCCTCAGATGGTAGAGTCTGAACCTGTCTGCCTGGCAGAGCTGGCACCCCTCGGGCAGACCAGCATGGTGCAGCGATGGATCGGGGGTGGGCAGTTAGGCTGGGAGAGGCTCAGCATCCCCCGCCCTGCAGCTGCTTGCACCCCCCACCCCCCACCCCTGTTCCTCTCCACCCGGCTGGCTGGTCGGGCTGGTCGCGGCCAGGAGTTCCTGCCCTGCTCACCTTGACTGCCATCTGTGAAAGTGGCTGCCACTCCCCTCCCTACTCATCATGTTACTACATGGATGCCTTCAGGAGCCTAAAAAGCCTTACTTTTCTAATCATTGGAGAAAGCAGCTTTGTCTGCCAGGAACCAAAGCAGGGCAGCTGATGACAAAAAAAAAAAAAAGAAGAAGAAAGAAAAAAAGAAAGGATGAAAGGAAGGAAGGAAGGAAGGAAGGAAGGAAGGAAGGAAGAAAGAAAGGAAAGAAAGAAAGAAAGAAAGAAAGAAAGAAAGAAAGAAAGAAAGAAAGAAAAAGAAAGAAAGAAAGAATTAACAGCTCCAAGTAGAGGGAGTAGAAAAGAAACAGCAAAGCTGGAGAGACAGTTAAAAACCTGAGGGCAAGGCCAGTCCTGGCAGCATCTGGCCAGCTGCCTGGGGGCCCTCCTGCCTGCCCACCAGGTCTTGTGACAAATGCCCTCCGACAGCCGGGGAACCACAGCTGTCACCGGAAGGCTCCGAGGGCGCGGGCCCGCAGCCAGAGGCCCGCGGCTGCAGGGGCGTCTCTCGGGCTGGTAACCTCATTATCTCTGCTGTCGGAGCAGGCGCCCCAGGGAGCGCAGCTGCTCTCAGCAGTGCGTTGGAGGAGCTGCCTGCTTGGGAAGCTGTGCAAAGCGAGGCCTCTCCTGCCAAAGGAGGCTTCACGGGGCCGCAGGCCTGGAGATTCACTTTCACGTCACTCCAGCAAACCCTCCTGATTTCCAAAACTCTGCCTGGGCCCTGCCAGGGTTCAGATGCACAGATGGTGCCTTTATTGTAGCAGTTTGGGTTTGTTTTTTTTTTTTCCCTTGGGCCCCAAAGCAAGGTTAGGTGCAAATAATGAGCAACAAAGAAAGAAAGACGAAAGCAAGCAAGAAAAGAATAGAAAAGAAAAGAAAAAAGAAAGAACCATCAAGCTCAGAGCTTGTCCAAGGATGTCCCAAGGAGGCTCCCAAGTTATGCCATTTCCCACTCACATCTGTCACCTGTCATCCAGGAAACTGCTCACTTCCTTTCCCCTCAGGCCCCTTTCTCCGGGTCACCTGTGCAGTGGGTAAGATGAGGGATTTTGGGGGGCTGCAGTCTGGGATCTAGGCCTGGGTGAGCCTCTACCTGCCTGAGTTCTCTTTTTTGTGGAGCCTCCCTGGTGAGGACAGCCCCGCATATATGACAGTGAGGACAGTGAGCTGCGGGGGACGCTGAAGTCACATCAAAGTGTGTCTGACTCCAGCCACAAACATTCTCAGCCTGCCCTGGGATCCAGGGATGGGAGGAAGGAGGAGACCCAGGGTGTGGGAAGGATACCAGAGGCGGTGGGGCTGGCGATCGTCTGCTTTGCTCTCCATGGATGTTCGACCTTGAGCAACGTGCCAAATGTTCCTGTCGGCGGCAGAACACCCTCATCTGTCAAGCGGAGAGCACACCTGCCCTGTGCCCGCCTGGCTGGGGAGAGAGAGCTCAGTGGAGAGAGAAGGTTGGCAGTGGGAGGCTGTGGGCTGCGGTTTCTGCTCTACCCTGGTGCTGCTGGCTGGCACAGTCTGCAGGACAGCTCTGAGAAAGGGCTGTGGCTCTGGATGGGCCGGGGAGGCCGCACATCTGGGGGTGGGGGGGGCTGGGCTGGTGGAGGACCCTTATTATTACGAAAATCGAGCCATTTGCTGGCTTGGTGTGGGTCCAGCTTCATTTCTCTCTGCCCTGAGCCGATGCCTGACGGGTTTGGATTGGGACTGAGGCAAGCAAGCACCAGGATCTATAGAAATGTCATTCCCCCAAAGGAGCAGAATGCAACGGGCTGCGGCCTGACTCCTCATGTCTGTGGTGGGGGCTTGCGTGGGTGCGTGTGGGTGCAAAGAGAGGCAGAAGGAGAGAGGGAGGTGATGTGTGTAAAGACCATCTGGCTGGGCACAGGCCCAGTCCAACCACGCCAGGCCCTTCCCCCGTTCTCCCAGATAACTCCCGCTGCCTGCCCAGGGAAGGGACAATAGAATAATCTGGAGATTCCCCTACCCTTCTTAGGTCCTCCTGGGCTCTCTGCCTCCAGACCCAGAGCAGATGTCCAAGGTGGGCTAGCTCCCCGGCCCTGTCCAGAGACCCTCAGGGCCATTGCCCCAGGCCGTGGCCCTCAGGCTGCTGCCTCTGTGTGGGAGCTGGACGAGGAAGGCTGCACATGCAGGCTTTTCCCGGCATAGCAGGGCTCAGTGCTGTGAAAGCCCTTCTAATCCGTGTTATTTTCTTCTAATCCCTCCCCCGCCTGCTCTGGCCTGTGTGCAACCCTGCAGGACCTTTGGTCCCAAGCCGGAGTCTGTGCTGAGCCACAGGCATGAGGAAGCCAAGCATCTGCTGCAGCGTGCCCGCATGAAGGCCAGGACCCGGCCCCTCCGTGCCAGCCATGATATCGTGCCCACTGTCGCCCGGGGCAGCCGGTGAGTGGGGCCCTGGCCAGGCTGGCCGAGGAGGGCCGTGGCAGGGAGGAGAGGTAGGAAGGAGCCCAAATGCCGCCGCTCGCTCCTCCCTCTGGCTATGGCTCCCATGTGAGACCCTTGATTTAATTCATTTAGTCGGTCAACACGCCTTAACTGTCAAGTGTCAGACATCGAGTAGTCACAGGTGAATGACACATGATCCGAGCTCCCTGGCGGACAGATGTCACGATCTCCAGGGAGGAAGACAGGCAAACAGATCAGGACAATTCTGTGGACTGTGGGGTAGGAGAGGAGAGATGTGCATGCAGGGCAGGAAACCCCTACCTCCATTCGGAAAGGACAGCAGAGGCTCCAGAGGAGGCGGCCTCTGAGGGGGGGCTTGAAGGAGATATCTGTCTTCATGGGGCAGAGGATGGAGGCCGGGGTGGTGAGCAGCCCAGGGCAGAAACCCTGAGCAGAAACACCGAGTTCATGGGGGAGAGAAGAGTGGCTTGAAGGCCAGGGAGCTCAGTGGAGGCCCGTCATGGAGGCTTCCAGGCCTGCGGAACAGTTCGACATCTCCAGTAATAGCTAGGAGCCACTGAACGATTTTTAGCCGGTAGAGAGCATGATCACATTTGCCCCTCAGTAAAGCTGTTCTGGCTGCAGGGATGTATTTGATCTGGGGGCCTGGGGCAGGAGGGGGTGGCCCTGTAATCCTGGTGAGGTGTGACAGGGAGGAGGAGGTGGAGACAAGAGATTGCCGAGAGTCAGAAGCAGGCAGGTTTACTGAGGCAGCAGAGACCCTGGAACCAGACCACTGGGTTTGAATTCAGGCTCTGCCACTTACCGGCTGTATGCCTTCGGGGAAGTCTCTGTGCCTCAGTTTCATCATCTGCAGAATGGGAATTATCGTAGTACCAGTCTTACAGGGCTGGTGAGAGGGTTCTGTGAAGTAATACATGCCCGGTGTTTAGAACTCTGCTGGCACATACTGAGCACCATGTGAGCATTCTCTCTTTCCAGTAATCCTTTAGTTAACTGGATGTGGAAGTGTGAGAAGGGGAGGCATCCAGGATGAAAACCCAGGATCTGACAGGGTATCTGGCGGTTTTTTGGGGGGGGCATTAGCTAAGGGGTGAAGTCGAGGTCCAGGTCAAGCTTTGGAGGGTGTTGCCCATGGAACATGCACTAGAAATGCTTATCAGGCAGTTGGATGTGAGGTCTGTAGAGATGGAGAGGAGTCAGAAAGACAGGTTGGGGCATTATCCTGCTTTCATGATGCTGGGGCCAGGGGTGAGAGTGAACCCACTGGACATGAAGAGAACAAGTTCAAGGGCATTCAGACCAGCACTTCACATAGGTGGCTGCTCCTGGAGTGATACCCCGTCCCCATCATTGCACCATTCCATATGCCATGCCCCTCAAGGAACCACTTACACTTGGACTTCACACACCAGAGCCAGTGCCCCTGGGTGGGCCTGACTTGGAGCTGCCAGCCCATGCCATGTTGAGCCAGCCACGAAGCGGGACATCTGTGCCATTGACAAAGCCTGTGCTTTTGCCACCATGATGGGAATGCTGGGTGTGCTGGTTTCCATCACCGAGTGGTACTAGAGGGAGCGAGGGTTCTCTGTGGAACCGGACCATATGCTCTTTTATGGGGCACACTGAGCCCGCTCATTGAAGGCCGTGGACAGTCATGGCACCATTGAGAGGACTCCAGCATGAGCAGAGGGCTGAGGCCTGCCCCTGTGTTCAGTGTCATCGTGGCCCCTCAGAGAGGGGCTCAGGAGATCCTAAATCCTGGCAAGAAGTGCCAAACAAGCTACCCTTTTATTTCTAGTGCCTTGTCTCCCTCCGCTTGGAGGGCACTAGTAAGGAATGGGCATGGCTTCTCCGAAGCATCCAAACTCTTCTTCTCTGCATGTATATGGAGCTCAGCCCTTAGACTTTCACAGAGCCCTCTCTCTGTTCCACTTTCTATAGAACCTTAGGCTGGGTCGAGTAGCCGCAGAATAGTCAAGAAGACTATTTGCAGAACAGATGTGACTGTGTAAAGGTCCTCTTGGACACCTCCTGTTCCCCAGATTACACGAGCAGCTCATAACAACCCCAGTCACTAACCTTAAAGCACGTTCCCTTTTGTCAGGCTGTCCCCTGGCCATCGAAATGCTATAGAAATGCAAGGTGACCCACTTTAGCAGCTGCTGTGTCCAGAAAAGAATTACTTCGACTTGGCAGCCCTGGTGAATCCTCAGAGGGTGTAGCTGAAAAATCAAGGCCAGATGGCTTGCTGCAGATGCTTCTAAAGGTTATGCTTGTCAGATCGCCCTGGAGAGCCCTGCTGAGTTCACATGGAGATGCCACACAGGCCCCAGGCCTGAGTCAGATGCAGGAGTGCCCCTGCGCCCTCCCCCGCCTTCAGCCCAGAGGCATCACTCCTTCCCAAGAGCAGCTCGGTGAAAGATGGATGGGAGGGTGGGGGTAGGCCAGACAGTCTCCAGAAGGCCTCCTTTATCGTCGGTCTGGCAGGAGGTGGCTGGGGCAGGCCTGAACTGACAGGCTTTTCCAGGAGTTGAAGAGGTAGCAGTAACTGCATTTTCTGGAAGCAAATCAGTGTAGAAATGGAGCAGCTCCTGGAAACACAGGCTCTTGCCATTTTGGGGACAGGCATGCCTCGGCTGGTGTTCCTAAATACCAGGAGGGCAGAGCACGTCAGCAAGAGGCAGGGCATGGGAGGGGAGCACCACGGATGCTGTTGTCCTGTGTCAGGAGGTGGCTGCGTTAAGACTATAGAGCTCGTGCAGGTTGCACTGATTGTGTGGTAAGGTCGGCACTGTTAGAAGAAGTGGGCTTCCAGAAAGGGGCCTTCCCATGGAGGCCTTCGAACTCCAGCTGTTGGGCCCTACAGAATCCTCTCCAAGAGGGGTGGTGCAGGAGGCAGCTGGGGGAGCGTGGCCGGTAGGGTACTCGTTTGAGGCCGAAGTGTCTTATTCGCTGTGCACCTGTCTCCAGAACCCTCAGCATACCCGTATGCCCCGTTCCCAGCACTGTTGGCAGAGGCCTCTGGTTTCTGCACCAGAGTTGAGGGTAACTTGTGTGACCAAACTCTCCTTCATTTCTCCTTTTAGAACAAAGATGTTATTTCTACTTTTGGCATAAATTCCAGGATGACTCAATTCACCCTCGTGTATGTAAAAGTTAAGGTCACCGATGTGGCTGACGGCACATTCCCTTATTACCTTAGGCCTTTAAAGCTGAGGCTTTCTTTTTCCTCCCCACAAAGTACAGCCTGCATCCTGTCAGCCTTGCAGGGCAGTGCCCTCTGGGGCCCGCACAGGGGTTGCTTGTGTCGGCCAGTGTACTGAATCTCCCAGGGGGCCTTTCCCTGCGGTGAGGTGGGGGTGTGCTGCAGGGGTGGGGCTTCTGCTGGCTGTGCTGCCTCTTGTTTCTGGGGGAGGGGAGGTGATGCTGTGTCTCTGACCAGAGCCTTCCTGTCCTTGGCTAGAATGCTCTGGAGAGCTGACCCAGGAACCCCTGCATGCACAGCGACCCCACCAGAGTGAGTGTCCCACAGCGCCTTCCTCAGATTGTGAGCAGCGGGAGAGATACAGGTGCAGGTAGGGTCCTCAGGGGTAAGAGCTTGAGTCTCCAGGGCTTCACAGGACCAGCAGAAAACTGTCATCCACCCACGGATCACAGGGACTTCCCTGGCCATGTTGAGACAAGCAGGGAGACCCCAAACCGTCCTCAGCAGAGGGCGATCCTAGCCAAGAACTCTGCATCTCCCTGCTGCATACCCCTCTCTGAATGCAGACCCACATTATGACTTTTGGGGGTCCCAGGCACTCTTGCCTTCTCTGCCTTCCTCCATAAAAAAAAAAAGTTAAAAAGTATAGTTTATGATCATGCTGGTTTAAAGGTAGTGTGTATTGGAATGTTTTCTTAGACTTAAAAATTTGTTTTCTTCTGACTTGAAAAGAAATTAAAACATTTTCATGGGTTCCTGCCAAGTATCGTGGCCCATAGACTCTGTGGCTGTTGTGCCTAATGGATAAATTGGCCCCATCTGAATGTGAGTTCCAGAAAACAGGATGACAGGCAACCCTGCGGTATTCCTCAAAGCAGCGCTTTTAAGCACAGGCTCTGCTCAGGTCCTAAAGCAGGCAGATCCACTTGCTTAGCAGTAGTTCTTTAAAAAAAAAGAAAAAGAAAAGAAAAATTCCTCCTGAAGCAATGTTAATTGAGAGAAAATACTGGAGCCAGGGGTTGCATCCTAGGGCAGGGTAAACATTTAGCCAACACCTCGGTTCAGCCTCCAAGGAGCCCCCCAGTGCCTGCACTGTGGCACTTGAAGCTGCAAGATTTAGGAAGTGTTCACCCCTCCTTAGTATGGCATGGCAGGGCCTTGACTGTAGCTTTATTCTGCAGGCTCAGCATCCAGTTAGGTGACCACCAGCCCCTCCCCTGTGTGATCAGAGTCCTGCAGTCTGACATTTGAGCTTGTAGTCTGTCTGACAGGGCATGGGTGAGGGAAGGAGTGCCTTAATTTTTAGACATAGCTGATTCCTATAGAGTTTTGCAGAGAATCAGTCTTGAACAATTTAACTCTGACCTCTCAGAGCACCTTTTGATTCCAAAGGGTAACGTTTATGCATCATATTCCACACACTCGGCAATCCAGACCATCCAATCCACTAAGATCGGGAGGCTAGTCAGTGGCTTTACTGTCAAGGCACCAAGGGAGGGGATGGTTAGGAATGGCCAGTGACTAGAGCAGCCCTGGTGGCTCAGCGGTTTGGTGCCACCTTCGGCCCAGGGCCTGATCCTGGAGACGCGGGATCAAGTCCTATGTCGGGCTCCCTGCATGGAGCCTGCTTCTCCCTCTGCCTGTGTCTCTGCCTCTCTCCCTGTCTGTGTCTCTCATGAATAAATAAATAAAATCTTTAAAAAAAAAAAAAAAGGAAAAGGAATGGCCAGTGACATCCCCCAGGGCACAGTCATGTTCACCTGAGCCATACAGGCAATGCCATTTATTCATACAGAAAGTACAGCAGGGAAGGACAGACAGTGTGTCCAGTCTGGTAAATGCTCTGTCCATGTAGAGGCCTAGATGGCAGCCCCTTCAGTGGCCATTCTCCCCACCAGCCGGCATGCTTTAATAGTAGTTGTTAAGTATGTATGGTTTCTTCCTGATGTTATCTGAACTCCTTTCTTTTTAATTATATACCATATTTGTCCTTCTGCTGGGGTAACTGTAAACTTGGTGAGGGAGGAACTCACATTAAGGCCGCCTTTTTGAACGCATTGCCATTCTTCTTCCAGAATCACCAAAGCAACCAATTAGAGGAAGGATTAGTAAATCCACTAATCACCAACATACATTTCATTAAGTTGTTGGCTGGGGCATCTGGGTGGCTCAGTGGTTGAGCGTCTGCCTTCAGCTCAGGTTGTGATCCTGGGGTCCTGGGATCGAGTCCCACCCCCATCAGGCTTCCCACATGGAGCCTGCTTCTCCCTCTGCCTCTGTCTCTTCCTCTCTCTCTGTGTCCGTCATGAATAAATAAATAAAATATTAAAAAAATAATAAGTTGTTGGTGTGTCCAGGCAGCAGCAAATTGTGCCATGTACAGTGTTCTATTAGAGAAGAGTGTCCTTCTCTGCTTGGGGAGATGAGGGTGTGGAGAGGAGGGAGGTAAGGTCAGGGAAGGCTTTGTAGACACTTTGAGGACTAGGAACAGTACCATAGCACATGAAGTATACCAATATAGATAACGTGTATATGGGCACACTTCTGGGCAATTGGAAAGAAGTGGCGGGTCTCCGAAATCCAGGCTCCTGTCTCTAGGTAGGACTAGACCACCAGCATGGTCAGTGTCTAGTTCTATTTTTGTGGCTCCATCTGAGGGAGAAAAAATATCCACAGCTTGCCTTTCCAGCTGCTTAGGTGCCACTCAGTCTGGAAACTGGTCTTTTGTGGCCTCTCTTTTTTTTTTTAAGATTTTATTTATTTATTCATTAGAGACACACAGAGAAAGAGAGAGGCCAAGACACAGGCAGAGGGAGAAGCGGGATCCATGCAGGGAGCCCGACGTGGGACTCCATCCCAGGTCTCCAGGATCATGCCCTGGGCTGAAGGTGGCGCTAAACCGCTGAGCCACCCGGGCTGCCCTGGCCTCTCCTTTATAGGAATGAGGAGGGACCATGTGGTCATGGCAGTGCCTTCGGCACTAACACCTTGTGGGTCTGTGGTGACAAATGAGTGGTACAGGTGTTCAGAGGAGGGAGATATCATGGTGCATTAGTCAGGTTTCTTCAGAGGAAGAACCAACAGGGTGCGTGTGTGCGTGCGTGCGTGTGTGTGTGTGTGTGTGTGTGTATATATATATATATATATATAGAGAGAGAGAGAGAGAGATTTATTTTTAGGAATTGAGTCATGTGATCATGGAGACATGATAAGTCCAAAATCTGCAGAGTAGGCTGGCAGGCTTCAGATTCAGGGAAGAGTAGCAACTCGAATCTAAAGGCAGTCTACTAGCAGAATTTCTTCTTGCTCAGGGAAGATCGATATTTGTGTTCTTAAGACCCTCAACTGATTGGATGAGGTCAACCGTATCGTGGAGGGTATCAGCTTTATACAAAGTTCAAACATCTAAATGCTAATCTTACCCAAAAAATGTCTTCACTAAAACATCCGGAATAATGTTTGACCCAAGTACCTGGGCACCGTGGTACCAATCAAGTTGACACGTATTTTTTAAATTCTTTTTTTCATAGACATTTTATTTTTTTAAGATTTTATTTATTTGAGAGAGAGAGAGAGAGAGAGAGAGATAGCACAAGCAGGAGGGAGTAGCAGGCTCCCCACTGAGCATGGAGCCCAATGTAGGGCTCAATGCCAGGGTCCTGGAATCATGATCTGAGCCGAAGGCAGACACTTAACTGACTGAGCCACCCAGGCATCCCTCAAGTTGGCACATAAGATTAACCATCACACATGGTATGTCTATACACCAGGTAACATTTCACAGATAGGATTCAAATGCAGGCAAGTTAAGAAAAAAGTCTCCAGGAAATGGTGCAAGAGGGCTGCATGAGGTTGATGAGGTAGGCAGCCTCGTGGCCCTGTAACGGGGTGGGGGGAGCTGGACACTAAAACAGTGAGGAAGGCCAAGCGCCTGTATTTTCAGCACAAAGACTGTGAAGCGAATCCTGTGCCCCACCTTGGGGGATGGTGCGACAGAGCTGTGTGCTCCAAGAGGACCAACAGACAGGAGGCAGGGAGGCTGGATAAGAGGCTGCGGTCCAGTGTGAATCCCAAACACGGAGCAGGAGGTTGATGGGGAGGCCACTGCAGGGAAAAGGAAGGGACGAACAGACCCTACTTAGGTAGCCTTTGATTAGGAAATGCCTGGAAACTCAGGCCACCTGGCTCCAGGGGGCCCTGGTGTGAGATTTGTGTGGGTGTTTTCTTGAGCTGAGCAGCGCTTGACCACCACACAGTGTCTCCCAGAGCAAAGGTTGGTGACACAATGTGATGACTCTTCTTAGCACAGTGCTTGTCCTCACAGCATTTCAGAGTGTGTGTGAGCGGCTGAGGAGGGCGGGAGAAGGTGGGTGCTGGAACAGACAAGATGGAGAGTCCAAGGAGAAGCACTGGTGTCAATCTGTCGAAATTGTGTCTGAGCAAGGTGATTAGGAGCCCTGAGTGGGCAGTTTCGGGAGCAAGAAAGCTTAGAAATCCTGACTTGAGGTCCCACACAGTCTCTGTAGAGACATAATTCACTCTTCCCATTAAACTTTTATAGCAAATGCAGCATTGGGACAAGTCATCCCTTTCCAGATGCCCATGAATGCCAGGCTCACTTCCTCTTAAGTGTGTGCCCTAGTGCACGTGTGCCTGCGAGCGCGCCCACACCCACTATGAGGACTTGGCTATCATCCTTCCGTACATCCTGTGTTCCACATAATGTTTCATCCTGACTCAGGCTGAGCCAGGCAACAGGAGGAAAGCCAAAAGTAAAGAAGACCCTATTGATTTGGTTTAGTGCCCAGTCTCGGGATCAAGATGGGCTTGGAAGCTGCCCGGGTTTGCCCCCTGCCTCCCCAGGCCCCGGGTGTGGGTGACACTGCAGCGCCGAGGGGAGCGGTGCCCCGGGCCGGGCCGCCTCTTCTCTCTCTGACCTGTCTCCTCCCGTCTCCCCTTCAGAGACGCCCGGAGCAGCCCAGCCCCGGACCCGCGGACGCCCCAGGCCTGCAGAGACAGCCCCCAGAACGGGAACACGAGTGACTCCTCCAGCGGGGAGTCCAGCAGCGGGCGGTGGCCCAGGCGCGGCGCCTCCCCGTCCCGCGTGCGCTTCGAGGACGAGTCGGCGCGCGACGCCGAGTCCCGCTACCTGGAGCGGCTGCAGCAGCGGCAGCGGCCGGCGGCCTCCCGGGGCCCGCTGCGCTCCGAGCCCGACCTGGGCCGCTACGGGCGCGGGGGCCTGGCGCGCTCCGACGGCGCAGGGGCGCTCGGCCGGCTGCTGGGCCGCCTGGAGCGCGGGGCCGTCCCCGCGCCGCCGCCCAGGACGTGCCGGGCCTGCGGCAGCTGCATGGACGCCCCCGCGCAGGCGAGCCCCGACCCCAGGGCGCTCCGGGAGCGCCGGGCTGCCGGCGCGGTGCAGGCGGTGCAGGCGGCGCAGGCGGCGCCCGCCCAGCCCCGGAGCTCTCGGGGCTCCAGCGCCCCCTCGAGGCTCCGCCCCGCCGAGCCCGGGTGCCACCCGGCAGGGATCCGGGAAACGCACATCGGAGCCGCGCCGCGCCCCGAGGAGGCCGATTCTGCGCCGGACAGCACGGACACGTCGGACGGCTGCAGGACCGACAGCGAGGAGGCCGGGCCCTCGCGCCCCAGCAGGGCCCGCGGCCTGGGCGGGGGCAGCAGCCCGCGTCTGCGGGGCTCCAGGCCTCGGGGAGGCCCCAGCGGGTTCCGGAAGGCCGCCCCGGAGCTGCCCTGGGGCGCTGCGGCCCCGCACCGCCTGCCCGGGGTTGGTCACGCGGAGGGTGCGGCCGAGGTCAGAGAAGGCAGGGGACAGGTGCCCGAGGGGACTCTGTCTCCCAGGGAGGACGCTTTCGCTAAGCCGCCTGCCCCGGAATCTAAAAGGCCTTCCCTGGGGTCCCAGTGGCAGCCTGGGCCAGCGCTGGGAAATCACTGGGTCCACCCGGTGGATTCCTGGGCTCCGGGCAGCACAGCCTATCCGCCCGCCTCTTCCATGAAGCGGGGACCGGGGTCCCCGGGCAGACAAACCCCGGCTGCGGAAAGCCCAGAGTCTCTGGAGACCGTCTCTGCTTCCTCCCTGCAACAGAGCCACGCAGAGCCCCCTGCCCTGCGCCCGGCCCAGCAGCCAACCTCTTCCTTCTCCCCGGAAGCCTGGGTGCCAGCCCCTCCATCTTCAAGGAAAGTCACCTCCCCGGTGTCTCACAGGAAGGCAGCCCTGGCTGGGCCCCGCAGGCTGAGTGAACCCAGAGAGCCTGCGGACACCCCTCTGCCTCTTTCAAGAAGTGTGATTCCCAGGACCTGTGAGCGCTCCCCTGCACAGACCCAGCCCCACGGCCCCGCAGTCAGGCAGCCCCTGCTGGCCCTGTCCACCAACAACTGCAACAACAGCGTTCCCCCAGGGCCGCAAGAGTCCTGGGGAGGAGCTGTCCCCGAGGGCAAGGCGGAGGAGGGCCCCTGTAGCCAGGAGAGCCGCCGCACCACCGGTAAGCAGAGACCCCGGGCCAGGCGCTCTGGGCCCTTCCTTGCTTTTTATCTGAATCCGTGACATAGCTATATGTGCACTCCCGACAGCCTCTTGGAGCCCTTCAGAGCAGTGGCAGGTGTTCTGGAAGCTGCGGAGTCTGTGGGCTGGGCGGAAGACGACTGCACATCAGCCTGGTCGCAGATTAGCCAACTCCTGCTGGGGAGGCAGAAGGCAGAGAGGCCCTCCGACTACGGGGGACCCTGAGGTGTCAGGGTCTGCGGCTGCTGGAGGCCTGGGCTTTAAGGGAAGTTTACTACCAACAGAGCAGGAATGATACAACAGCTCCAGATTCACTATTTGCTTAAAGCAGTAAATGCCTGATCATCACAGGATCAGGCCCTTTCCTTCAACATCTTTGTTTCATTCATTTCCTCTTTCATTCGTTCAACACTGAGCACCTGTTAAGTGCCAGGCCCCATACCAGGCACTGGGGGGGGGGGATGCATAAATGAATTTATTCTGCAGGAGTCCTGCCCTTGAGACCTGTGGGCAGTAGACGTGCTGTCTGGAGGACCCAGGGACCAGGGGGCAGAGCCCTCCGAGGCCCTCAGCCCTCCTGGGCAGGCTTGTTGGCTTCAGCAGGAAGGGCCGCAAAAGGGTGTAGAGGGCGTCAACTCTGCCCTGGGAAGAGATCCTTGTATTGTGGGCACAGCCTGGGCATCAGTGGCCCTAAGCTCTGATCCTCATTGCTGTGATCTGAGGTGAGTAACTCGGCCATTCACTCTGAGGCAGAGACAACAGGTCTGCCCCCGTGGCCTGTCCTAGTGTGTCCAGCACTGTGACAGGCCTGGAGTCGGGATGGCTTGGAAACACAGCGGAGGACAGCAGAGAGCTGATAGGCTATGCTGACCTTACTGAAGACGTGGGTGCAAAGCACCCTACCCCCCAGTGTGTTGGCCACCCCCTCTGCTGCACACGGGGACACAGACACCTTTCCTCTCCCTCCCCTGCTGACAGGAGCCTTAAGAAAGCAGGTCGCGCCCTGGGCCGCCTGCCCCGTTCTAAGGTGTGCTTTCTGCTGTGGGTGGGCTCTAGGCCGGCTGCTGGCCGCCGCCAGCCACTTCCTGGGGAGCTTCTATTCCGCCAGCCGCTGGGCTTCCTGGGCCACTTGGCCTTCACCTTCTCAGTCTCCTCCTCTCATCAGCCAGGAGGTCCCGGGCACACCACGGAGGCCTTTTGTGCTCCGGGCTCTTCCTCTGTAACCCGGGGTCATAGGAGAACCTATCTCCTAGAACCCACGGAATGATCTCTGTAGAGGGTCAATTCATTGCCTAGCACGTCACAAATGCTCCAGAAATGGTCCTGTCATGAAAGCTGTTAGATACCTCAACCAACAGGATTGTGCTTTCCATCCCAGGAATGCAAAATTTCCCCGTTCCCAGCTATGTCTCTTGCTATAGGAGGGACGTGACTTATCGCCAGCAGCTCCTTCATTGTAGACACTTATTGATCGTCTACTGTGTACCAGTTGCTGTGCTGGGGTGATGGGTACAGCAGTAAACAAGACCCCTCATGCCCACCCTGCTTTGTGGGTGTCTCACCACTGCCTCCATTGCTCTTCTGGGGCTCCTCCTGCTCTCGTTGCGCTTGTCCTCTCCCCTGACCATGACCTGTCCCGAGGCCTGCCAGGCTGCTGCTTTTGAGGTGCGGAACAGCGTGGGGGGGGTCACTGTCATCCTCCATCCACGGGTCGAGGGCCTAAGGGGCTTTCAGGGGTTCACAGCATCAGCTGTGTAGGCTGTCAGAGTTGCGCAAATTGTCTCACATTGTTTCTTTTTAATTTCGGGATGGCGTAGTGACACGGAGGGCTATGGTTGTTGCAGGAGGAGTCCAGGGCTTTCTCGGCTCGGCAGCTGTTGGCACTGTCAGCTCCATGAGCATCACCCTCTCCTTGACCTCAGAGGAGCCAGAGTCCAGCCAGGAACCAGAGAGAGGCCTGCCGAGGACAGAGTTGAGTTCTGGAGGGCAAGTGTCATCCCGGTGAGTGACGGGAGCAAGAGCCCTGACTGCAGAAGGTGGGAGGCTAGGGGTGCTGGGTGGAGAAAGAGACCCCACTGGCATAACTAACCCCATGACTCCCAAATCCCTAGAGGATTCCTAGACTTATTCCAGGCATGGCACCTTAATACTCCTTTCCCAGCCATTTTTAGTCTGATGTACGTGCTGATTCATTCACCAAGCCTCAAGCTCCAGGTACTCTGCTGGGTGCAGCTGACCAGACACTCCCCACCCTCAGGGTGCTCCCAGGATGGGGCTGTCTGAGAGGGCTTGGAAACAAGCAGATACTGAGGAAACAGCCTGGCATTCACCTTTCCATTCATTCTCTCCTTTAGCACTGAGAGTCGGAGTCCTTGCCCTGGGTCCCCAAAGCCTGGGTGAGCCAGTGCTCTGGCCAGGACATTCTTTTCTGCACTACACACCATTCCCAGTGACACCGAGAGCCAGATCTCCATCTCTGGTGCTGTGTGTTCCCCAAAACCCCAGATCCCTCCATCTGGTTTCCTCTGGCTTCTCCACTAGGGTGTCTCAGAGGCCTTGATGCACCTGCTTCCTCAGGTCCCCTTCCTGGCAAACACACCATCCACACAGTGCTGCACCCACAATGGCATGACCTTGGCCAATCTCCTCCTTCCGGCCTGATCTGCTGGCATGTCCCCTCCGGCTCCTGCATCCCTTTTTCTTGCCTTTCTCCTCGTCTGAGCTCCATGACTTCGGACAACTCCAACACCCCCGTCTGCTCTCTGCCTTCACTCTCGTTCCTACACTTCCTTCTCAGCACAGCAGTCAAAGATATCTTTTTTAAACTGCCATTAAATTATGTCATTTCTCCTGCAGAAAACCCCCAGTGGTTTTTTCTCTCACCTGGAATAGAATCCGAGCCCCTTACCTTGGCTTATGTGCTCTGTGTAATCCGGCCCGCCTGCCTGACCTCCTCTGGCACCTCTTCCCCCTCTTGCTCCCCTCCTCCCGGTGCTGGTGGCCTGGCCTCATCGTGCTCTGGAACCATGGAACCTCTTCTTGTCCTGGAGCTTCCTGTCTTCTATGCTGCCTCCTGCAGGGATTCTCACTTCTGGCCTCGGCAGGACGGCTCCTCCTTATCATTTAGCTTCCAGCCTAGACACCATCTTCTCAGAAAGACCAGCCACTGTGCTGTTGGTTTTTCTCCTTCGTTTACTAGCTGAGAGTAAGGACTTTGTCTGTCTTGTTTACCACATACCCCTGTTGTTTCTAGAAGGCACAGAGGCTCTGAGGCAATAATGAATGAATGGAACGAATGGGTGGGTGGGCCCATAGTTGAGTGTGATGCCCAGGGTCTTGCCTTCGCCCTCCTCCCTAGGATCTGCCCGAGCAGAGCATCCCGCAGATGTCCTCTCAGCCTCTTGGCAGCCAGCTGTCATGTCCTCCACGAGCCATGGGTGCTGGCTCTCCTGGGGCCCCCAGGAGCCTGAGGGGCACTCTGCCCTGGCCTCTGTCCCCTAGCCAACCCCTGCCCGCTTCATGTCCATCCTTGCATTTCAGAGCATTACTGGGTGTCAGTGCCGGACCTGGCCCTCCCAGCGCTGCCCCTTCTGACAGGAGCAAGAAAAGCAGCAGCAGCCTGGCCTCCACCCTGGGGCTGAAGAAGCTCTTCTCGGCCCTGGGCCAGGGCACTAGGCCCAAGCTAGGCAAGGCCCGCAGCTACAGTGTGGAGCAGCTGCAGTCCCCTGCGCCTGGCCCAGCATCGCACCCCAGCTCCCCCAGAGTGAAGAAAGCCCCGTCGTTACAGTCCCTCCGCCTGGTGAGTCAGAGGGCCAGGGGGTGAGGGCCCCAGTGGTGGTGTAGCCGCCACTGGGATGGAAGGTGACAGGAGATGTGAAGTGTGGAGGATGCTGCCCGAGGCGCCCAGGTGGAGAAAGGGAAGCTGCAGGGCTCCCTGCGGTTGATCCATGAGACCTGGCTCCCCCTGGGCACCAAGGCAGCACCCCACAGTCTGTCCTTCCAGCCAGCTGCCCCAGCATGAGCTCGCCCTAAGCTCCTCCTCCTCCCCCTCTCTCCCCCTCGACTCTGCCACCTTTGCCAAGGCCTACAGTCTATTGTCTGATCATTCTGGAACCTTCTCCATGGTCACGGTGCCTCTCTTAGTCTAGCACAGATAACTTCACATGCAGACTAACACAGCGGCCTCCTGACTGGCATCCCTGCCATGTCTTTCTCTGCCTCCTTCCACAATGGTCCTGATGTGCAGATCTGGTTATGCTACCCCTTACAGAACATCTGCCTTGGGCCCCTGATCGCCTCCAGGGTAAAGTTCAGACCACCTGACATGGCCAAAGGGCTTCTGGGATCTGCCTTCATCTCTCATCACTCTCCTTCTAACACCCTCTCCGCTGTCCTTGACCTTGCTGTTCTGTAATCAGGCCACATGCTGACTTTGAACCTTCACCTGAGATGTTTCTCCTACCTTCTCTCCCTGCTACCATCTGCTCATCCATCAGTGCTTCGGGGATTGCCTCCTCCAAGAAGCCAATTCCAGTCCTTTCTTGGGCTGAGCTAGTTGGCCCTCTGCTCTGTGTTCCCCATCTTATCCTGTGCTTCCCTCCTTTGGGGAACTTGCCACATAGTATTTTAATTGATTTTTGTCTGTCTCCCCTCACTAGAGTGTGAATTCTTTGCGGGAACACTGATCTTTATATTCCCAGTACAGGTTTCACCTGCTGTCCGAAATTAGAGAGTCCCTACAAAAACTTCCGTAAGCCACAATGGCATAAATCGAAGAAGCAGTGACCATTAATTAATATGGAAAAATTTTGAACACTCCCACACCCAAAATATAATCTCTCTCAGGCTTTTCTGATACCCTAGGGCACTTCTTGCTGATGGATGCACAAATAAATTGAGATAGAGCACAGTTGCTCACAGGTACCATTTAAAGCTGGGTGGCTGGTGGCGCAGCAGTTTGGCCCCGTCTGCAGCCTGGGGTGTGATCCTGGAGACCTGGGATCGAGTCCCACATCGGGCTTCCTGCATGGAGCCTGCTTCTCCCTCTGTCTGTGTCTCTGCCCCTCTCTCTGTGTCTATGAATAAATAAATAAAATCTTTAAAAAAAAATAAAGCTGGGGTGGCTTAGTGCTAAAATGCTGAGTGTCATCCTGGGGGTCTCGGGGGCTCGATGGGACCATGCTCACTGCTCCAGAATGCCAAAACAAACACTGAATACTATTTTTGCTTTTCACCTTTTTTCCCCCACAAAAATGAAAATCCTCCAAATTTCTTTCAATTCGTGAAAACAGGCACTCATGTAGGTCTTTCATAAAAGCAAACTTTCAAAAAGTGAGGGATACCTGTACTGAGCACAGTGGCTACTATATAATACATATTTAAGACAGAGAGAGTGAACGAGCGAGCGAGGGAGGGAGTGAGTGCAGGGCAGCTAGCTCAAGGTCCCCCCGGGTGCCAGCAGAGCAACCAACAGCAAGCCAGCAACGGTGCGCTTACTCTCAGCTAGGTTTCTGAAAAGCCTGTTCTGTTCCAGGTTTTTCCAGATACTATGTTTGTTCTTCTGTTCCCCGCCCCCTGCTCTGCCCCTGGGCAGAACAAAGCAGGTGACTCTGGTTTGGGGCAATAGAGGCTTTCACTTTTCAGGCTGAAGTAGGGAAGAGAATGTGGGCCGAATGAAAATGCCATTGGTTGTCTTATACCAGGAACAGTACCTAGTATGTGCTCAATAAATATTTGCTGGATGAGGGTAGCCCGGGTGGCTCAGCGATTTAGCACCGCCTTCGGCCCAGGGCCTGATCCTGGAGACCCAGGATCAAGTCCACATAGGGCTCCCTGCATGGAGCCTGCTTCTCCCTCTGCCTGTGTCTCTGCCTCTCTCTCTTTCTGTGTCTCTCATGAATACATAAATAAAATCTTTTAAAAAAGAAAGAAAATATTTAAAAAAATATTTGCTGGATGAATGGACGGAAGGCAAAGAAACAGAAGCCAAGTGATCATAAGCTGGGGAGCAAAGCCTCGAGTGGCGTTGTGCCCCGAGAATCCACTTTTCTCGGGAAGTTAGGTTTGGCCCCTCTGCGTCTGAGCCCTGGCGTGCGATGTATCACCTTCAGCCCTTCCATCCCTGTAAACCCTTCAAGGGAGATGATGACTCCGTGAGTGTGGCAGAGAGGTCATCAGCAACGTAAGCCAAGGGGGCAAAGAGAGAAAGAAAGCTGGCCGACAAGGGGTGGGAGCACTGTGCAGCAGAAAGAATTGCTCAAGAAGTGAAAAAAGAAGATAAAACAAGAATTCGTCTCACCCAGAATGTGACACATCTGAGGGGTCGTTATCTCCTTTAGACCGTCTCCTATGCCTTAGACCCCCGGCCGCCGAGTGTGGGCAGGTGCTGCCCTGGTTTCGCTTTCATTTTGCCCTCCTGTTCCCACAGCCCACCACACTGGTGGCTCCCCCGTGCCCTGGTGGCTGTGGCTTTTTGACATTTGACCCTGCATCTGGAATGCTGTCCTCTCTCTCTTCTTCGTGCGGAAGACCCTTTGGTCTTTCAGGTCTGAGTTAAGCATGACTTCTCCCAGTTCTCCCAGAAAGCCTTCCTGAGCTCTGATACAAGCTTAGGGCCTGCTCTAAACCTCTTGAACATGTATCTTACTTCTTTTCTTTTTAAAAAAGATTTTATTTACTTGTTTGACAGAGAGAGAGTGTGTGTGCACAAGCAGGGGGAGCAGCAGGTAGAGGGAGGGTGAAGCAGGCTCCCTGCTGAGCAGGAAGCCTGATCCCGGGCTCAATCCCAGGACCCTGGGACATGATCTGAGCTGAAGGCAGATGCTTAACTGACTGAGCCACCCAGGCGCCTGGTTTTTTAGTTTCTGTTTAGTCATTTATTTCTGCTCTAATATTTATTATTTCCTTCCTTCTACTGGTTTTGGGTTTTGTTTGTTATTCTCTTTTCTAGCTCCTTTAGATGCAAGGTTAGCTTGTTTGAGATTTCTCTTGCTTCTTGAGGTAGGCTTGTATTGCTATAAACTTCCCTCTTTGAACAGCTTTTGTTGTAATCCCAAAGATTTGGACCATTATGTTTTCATTTTCATTAGTCTCCATGTATTTTTTGTTTCCTTATTTCTTTCTTTATGTTTTTAATATTTATTTGAGAGAGAGAGAGAGAGTGGTAGGGAGGGGTAGAGGGAGAGGGAGAGAGAGAATCTCAAGCAGAGCCCATGCTGAGTAGAGAGCCTGACATGGGACTCAATCCTAGGACCATGAGATCATGACCTGAGCCAAAATCAAGAGTCAGCCATTTAACTAACTGAGCCACCCAGGCACCCCTCCTCTTTGATTTAACCTCCATGTATTTGTGTCCTTTCCAGATTTTTTCTTATAATTGATTTCTAGTTTCACAGCATTGTAGTCAGAAAAGATACATGGTACGACTTCAGTCTTTTTGAATTTGTTGGGACTTGTTTTGTGGTCTAGTATGTGATCTCTTCTGGATAATGTTTCATGTGCACTCGAAAAGGATTATATTCTGCTGTTATAGGATGGAATGTTCTGAATGCATCTGTTAGATCCATCTGGTCCAAAGTGTCATTCAAAACCACCGTGTCTTGGTTGATTTTCTGTTTGGATGACCTGTTCACTGATGTAAATGGGGTGTTAAAATCCCTTACTGTTATTACTGCTGATTATTTCTGTTGATTTCTTCCTTTATGTTTGTTATCAACTGCTTTGAGAATTTGGGTGCTTCCATGTTGGGTACATAGATATTTATGATTGTTATATCTTCTTATTGGATTGTCCCTTTAATGATTATATGTTGTCCTTATTTGTCTCTTGGTACCATCTTTGTTTTAAAGTATATTTTGTTCAGGGATCCCTGGGTGGCGCAGCGGTTTGGCGCCTGCCTTTGGCTCAGGGCGCGATCCTGGAGACCCCGGATCGAATCCCACGTCGGGCTCCCGGTGCATGGAGCCTGCTTCTCCCTCTGCCTGTGTCTCTGCCTCTCTCTCTCTCTGTGACTATCAATAATTTAAAAAAAAAGTATATTTTGTTCAATATAAGTATTGCTACCTCGGCTTTCTTTTCACATTTTTTTGCATGATAAAATAAATATTTCTCCATCCTCTCACTTTCAATCTGCATGTGTCTCTAGGTCTGAATTGAGTCCCCCTGTAGGCAGCAGCTCTAGCTTTTCAATCCATTCCATCAGCCTGTGTCTTTTGATTGAAACATTTACTCCATTTACATTCAAAGTAATTATTGCTACACATGTACTTATTGCTATTTTGTTTTATGGTTGTTTTTGTAGTTCTTTTCTATTCCTTTCTTCTCTTGCTCTTTTCTCTCAAGGTTTGCTGGTTTCTTTTAGTGATATACTTGGATTTCTTTCTCTTTATTTTTTTGCATATCAATTACTGGTTCTGGATTTGTGGTTACTGTTAGGTTTGTGTATAACATCTTCTACATATAGCAGTCTTTATTAAGTTGATGATTGCTTCACTTTGAACCCACTCTTTACTCCTTTCCTACCATTCCACATTTTAAGTATATGATGACACACTTTACATCTTTTTATTTTATGAATCCCTTGAGTGATTTTTTATAGATATACTTAATTTTACTGCTTTTGTGCTTCCTGTTTTTCTTTCTCCTACTTATGGTCTTTCCTTTCCACTCAAAAAGTTCCTTTAACATTTCTTGTAGGGCAGGCTTAGTGGTTATGGAGTTCTTTAACTTGTCTGGGAAACTCTTTATCTCTCCTATTCTGAATGACAGCTTTGCTGGATAGAGGTTTTTCTCCCTTTCACTGCTTTAAATATATCATGCCCCTCCTTTCTGGCCTGTAAAGTTTCTGCTGAAAAATCAGCTGATAGCCTTATGGGGTTTCCCTTATATGTAACTGTTTTATTTTGCTGCTTTAAAATCTCTTTATCACTACTTTTTACTTTTTTAGTTACTGTGTGTCTTGGTGTGGACTTCCTTAGGTTGATTTTGTTGGGGACTCTCTGTGCCTCCTGGCTCTGGATTTCTGTTTTCTTCCCCAGATTCAGAAAGTTTTCCACTTCCTTTTCTCTCTCTTTCCTTCTGGGATCCCTACAATGAGAATGTTATTTTGCTTGATGGTGTCACTGAGTTCCCTAAGTCTATTTTCACTTCTTCTATTATTTTTCTCTCTGCTGTTTATCTTGATTGCTTTCTATCCTCCAAGTCACTGATCTGTTCCGCTTTCTTTAGTGTACTATATATTTCACCTAGTATATTTTTATCTTTATTATTTTTTGAAAGATTTTATTTATTTATTCACGAGACACACACACACAGAGAGAGAGAGAGAGAGAGAGGCAGAGACACAGGAAGAGGGAGAAGCAGGGAGCCCGACACAGGGAGCCCGATGTGGGACTAGATCCCAGGTCTCCAGGATCAGGCCCTGGACTGAAGGCAGCGCTAAACTGCTGAGCCACCCAAGCTGCCCCTAGTATATTTTTAATTTCAGTTATTGAGTTCTTTATCTCTGATTATTTCTTTTTTATGTTTCCTATCTCTTTGGTAAGAGTCTTATTGAGGTCCTTTACTCTTTTCTCAAGTTCAATGAATATCTTTATGACCATTACTTTTTTTCAATTTAATTTTATTATTATTATTATTATTATTATTATTATTGGAAGAGAGAGAGGAAGGAGCTGGAGGGGCAGAGGGAGAAGGAGAGGGAGAGAGAGAAAAGCAGTTTCTACACCCAGTGCAGAGCCTGATACAGGACTCAATCTCACAACCCAGAGATCAAGACTTGAGCCAAAATCAAGAGTCAGACAGTTAACCGACCAAGCCACCCAAGTTCCCCTTACCATTACTTTAAATTCTTTAGCAGGCATATTATTTATCTCTTTCATTTAGCTCTCTTGCTGTGATTTTGTCCTACTGTTTCATTTGGGACATATTTGTCTTCTCATTTTGTCTAGCTCTTTGTGTCTGTTTCTATGTGTTAGGAAAGTCAGCTATTTCTTCTGCTCTTGAAAGTAGTGGCCTTACGAAGAAGAGGTCCTGTAGTGCCCTGCAGTGCATTGTCCCTGTTCACCAGAACCTGGCACATCAGAGCTGTCTCTTATATGTGTGGCATGCACCCTACTGTTGTGGCTGAACTTCTTTTGCCTTCAGTCCAGTCATCTGCAATGGTTCTCTTCACTTGTTGTGGGCAGTGTTTGGTTCCTGTGGTGTGAGTGGGCTGCTCTTGGACTACCTTAGGCTTGAGTTGAGTCAAAACAGGCATTTGCCAAAAATACAGTAGTACTGAACTACAGGATGCTTTCTCTGTGTTGTCCCCTGTGAAGCTTTTTATTGGTGGGGCGTACAGTCAGACTAGATGTCTGCTCCTGGCCCACTGCTGGGGCCACAGTCTCAGACTGGTGTCTGAGTTAGTTATTTCCCCCTCTCCCCAGGGCAGGAGTCACTGCTGGGGCTGCTTTGAACCCTGCTGGACTTGTGGCACCACTCTGGATGGACTCTGGCCAAAGGTGTATTGGAGAGGGCATGTTCACAGGAGAACAAGGGGGTGGGCCGTGCTGTTAGCAAGTTAGGTGGAGAGTGTTGGTGCTGTGCTGGTTCCCCCAGCTGTTCCTGTGTCTAGGCTGCAGGGCAGGGGAGGGAAATGGTACCTGCCAGCTCTTTTGTTCCTAGAGAAGTCTCCCAAATATCCCTGCCCTTCCAGCACAGGCTCTGAGATTAGTAAACATTTTTCAAACTACTGCTTCTCTACACTGTATCTCAGTGGGGCTGTTTGTTGTGCTGTCTCTTTAAGGGTAGGAATCAGTTTCCTATTATCTACCCAGGTCTCCCAGAGCCAAGCCCAGTGATTTTTTAAAGCTCCACTGTTAAGCTCCACTGATTTTAAGAACTCCTGAAATTAAGCCTCTCTGGTTTTCAAAGCCAAATGTTATGAGCATTCATCTTCCCTGTGCAGGTTCCTCATGCCTGGTATGCCTGGTGTAAGGGTCTGGTCCTCCCCTCTCTCTGCACCAAGCATCCCTCCCTTCCTCCCTTGGATGGTCCCGAAGGTTCATCTAGCTCCTGAGTGAATCTCCATCCTGTCCTACCATCTTCAATGTGGACTCTTCCACATTTAGCTGTGGAGAGTCTGTTCTGCCAGTCTTTGGGTTGTTTATTGGGTTTTTCATGATGTGTGTGTTATCTAATTGTATCCATGGGACAAAGTGAGCTTAGGGTCTTTGTACTCTACCATTTTTCCTGTAAGTCCTTAGATAAAATTTTTTTAATGTCAACAATCATAAAAGGGATACTAAGAATCACAAAATATTTAGTATTTTAGCTCTGGAGTCATATCTATTACTTTGTAATTAATTTGCTTTCACTTTTTTCTTAATGAGAAAATAAGATTTTCTTTTTTTTTTTAAAGATTTTATTTATTTACTCATGAGAGACACAGAGAGAGGCAGAGAGAGAGAGAAGCAGGTTCCATGCAAGGAGCCCAATATGGGACTCGATCCTAGGTCTCCAGGATCACACTATGGGCCAAAGGTGGCGCTAAACCGCTGAGCCACCCAGGCATCCCATGATTTTCTTCATCAGTGAAATTATTCCAGTACTACTCTTCTAGCACTAAGTTATCTCACTCAGCCAAAAAAAATTGAACCTTCAGATCCCCTGTATAGACCCATCTACTTGAGTAAATTGTGATTCCTGATGGGGACTTTAAAGTAGTGACAAAAGCTTGTATCCTTACTTTCTTAAAAAGCCCTCAGGCTCCTGGTTGGGGTCAGGCCCCTGCCAAGCCCTGGACCTGGGACTTTTCTCACCTGCAATATTGGACCTTTACCACCAGGTGTCACCCTCTCATCAACATCGGAAAGCTGCCTCCTTTCAGAACCTCCATTCTCTGCTGAGTGGAAAGGGGGACCGGTCCAGCCTCTACATGGTGGGGGAGCCGGGGGAGCACAGCGCAGCTGACAGGTAAGAGTGGGCAAGTGGTGTGCGGGGGTAAACTCAGAGTGTGGGTGGTGGAGCTGTAAGCTTCACTCCGTCCTGCCTCAGCTGCCACTGGAATCTGGCGGCCCACACTTCAGTGTCTTGTCCTGGGCGCCTGAGCTCTGAGAAGATTGGTGGAATGGGCAGAGTTGGAAGGTTTGATGCCTCCATCCCTCTACTGTCTAATGACATCCTAAAATCACAATGTTCAGAGAGCTTCCTTAGCCAGCCAAAGCCAAAGGTCTGATTAGAGATCCAGAGACAGGGCCCCCAGAGACACTTGGCCTGTGACCCTGCCTAGAGAACTCCCACCCTCTGATGAGACCCTCCTGGAAATTTTATATAACATTATATCTTTTGTTAGATTTTTCAGAGAGGTCTCTGCACCCACAAAGATTTAGAATTGTGTTTGCAGGCAGAAGGGTAGTGGGGGCTTCTGGTTCTGCAGCAGGCTTTGCAGAGCCTCAGACAGCTGTGACATCCCTCCAGTCTTCCTCTTAGCACATTGTTTTTGCTGGTTGAGGCCAGGCAAGAGGCATCCGTCATCCTTAAGGCAGGGAGTAGTCGGCCCGCGTGCCCAGCCCTCTGCACTCACTCCGTCTCCTGTCCCCTGGCAGACCAGCCAAGGCCTCATCCGGGCGTGCCCTCAGTGTGGAGGACGTGAGCGCCCCCAGCCAGGTGCGCACGGTGGGCCGCGTGGTGGAGGTGTTCCCAGATGGCACAACCCAGCTGCAGCTACAGCGCTCCCCGGAGGGCACTTTTGGCTTCTGTGTGGCCTCCGGGAACGGGCGCCGCGACTCAGGTATGCCGCCTCCCCTTTCCGGGCTGCATATCCCTGGGACCTTAGCAAACCGCTTTTGGCTCTGGTCATTTCCAGTCTGTGGCTGAGAAGTGGAGCTCCAGACTCAGATGGCCTCTTAGCGAAAGGACTAGAATTCTCCCTTCGGGGGCTCTTTTGGAAGAGGCAGGTGTGGGGCTGCTGGGGTGGGTAGAGATGGCAAGCCTCGCTCTACGGCCCTTCTGATGTCTGCTGACATCCTGGAATCTCGAAGGCCACCTTCTTTGTGGCGCGCCCAGGGGAGACCGTGCTTGGTGGTTCTCGAGGATCCCTTTGGTGTGGCTGGTGTGTTTCACGGCTCCCTTCCTCGGGCTGCTGAGTGTGTCTGGGCATGTGGAATGTGCCTGCCTGTCGGTGCGTCCAGGTCCCTCCCTCAGTGCTGGCTCCAGATGGTGACGTTCCCAGGGATCCCGCGCTGGCTGCGCCCTGCCGAGGAGGGCTTAGTCCTGTGCTCTCATCTCCCAGGTCAAAGTCATCTAACCTGGAAAAAAACCTGCCTGCTGCCGGACTGGCAGGCCGCAGCGAGTCCTTACATCTGTTCCACCACTCGTTGTTTCCACAAGTGTGTGCTGAGCACCTACTAGGTGTTTTATTTTTATTTATATTTTTAAACATTTTATTTATTTCTTCATGAGAGACACACAGAGAGAGAAGCAGGCTCCATGCAGGGAGCCCGACATGGGACTCGATCCTGGGTGTCCAGGATCACACCCTGGGCTGAAGGCAGCGCTAAACCGCTGAGCCACCCGGGCTGCCCCCTACTAGGCGTTTTCGATCCTGGGTATATTGGGGTCCCTGTAAACGGAACAGAAAAAAATCCTGTCCTCAGGGGTCCCCATTTCAGTGAGGGAGATAGACTGTATCTACGAAAAGGTACGCATCTGGGTATGTTGTCCGTTATCTGGGCCCGACGGCAGAATGGACCAAGACACAGATCCAAACAGCGGGGCGAGGGCCCGAGCGGGGGCGGGGTGCCGGTGGGCAGCTCTTCGGAGCAGAGCGGCCGGATGGTGTCTGCAGGAAGAGCAGTCCCGGCAGAGGGAAGGGCCCGCGGAGGCCTGGAGGGTGGCAACGAGTGTGGCTGTCCGGATGGCAGCGCGGATGTGCACGGAGCAGCGAGGGGGGCCAGGCGCCGAGCTCGGGAGGCTTTGGCTCTCCCCGCAGGGAGCTGGGAGCCCCCAGGGCTGCGAAGCGGGGACTGGCGTGCTCCGGTTTGCACTCGTAACCGTGTCGCTGACCGACTCCCGGGCTGCGGACAGGTGCTGGTGGGCCGAGGGTGGACCGGGGAGACCCATTTTAAAGCTGTTTCAGCGTATTTCAGTGGAAAGACTTGGCGGTGGCGGCTCGGGCCGGGGAGGCAGCGGAGATGTGAGAAGTGGTTGCCTTCAGCTTGACTCGAGAGCGGTTTGACTCAGTTTGCTGATGGATTTGACGTGAGCGTGAGGGGACGAGGACGAGTGTCTCCGCGCTGTGGGCCTCGGGAGGGTACCTGTCTGTCTCACGGGAGACGGCATGTGTGACTCTAGCCTGATGGTCAGAAAGCACTGGCGGGCTGTCAGCTCCGCGCCTTTACCTTTAGCCTCCCCTTCCCTCAGGTGGGGGCGGAGGCCTCCCGGGCGGCGGGACTTAGATGCCACTGATACTCCAGGGCCTCTGCTGGTGTGACCCGAGCAGGTCACTTGCCCTCTCTGAGCCTCAGTTCCCTCATCTTACGTAACCTAAAGAAAGCCACCTGCCCGGACGAGTCATAAGAGCATTCGGTGAGGTGCAAAGAGAATTTGTATCTGGGGAGCAGGACCCGGCAGGGACCGCACCGCGATCTGCACCGTCTGTCCACGTGAGGTCACACACCCCGGGCCTTGTGCTGCGCCCTTCAGCCTCCCCGCAGTCCCGCCAGGCCCCCTGGCAGACGGTCCCCGAGCTGACGTCTCTAATGACCAAGGGCTCCTTGGGCTCTGGCCCGGCCTGCAGCCCAGGGCACCCTCACCTGAGGTACGAGCCCTTCCCTGTCCTGCCCAGGTGGCGCCCTGCTCCTGCTGCTGCACTTGGCCGTTGGGTATCACGCGGCCATCCCCAGGTACGTGGAACATGACTGGCACTGGTGCCTGCTGGCCGCAGACCGTCGTCCGACAGCCAAGGGCCACCTCTGCTGGGGCTGGGCCGCACTCCTCGCTAAAGCGTCAGGACGCTGGTGTCACCCGGCTGGCGGTCACATCTGATTCTAGACAAGCGTATGAGCACAGGCTTCGCCTTCTGCTTGTGACTACCACACGGACCATACGTGCTTAACAGAGGCCATTTCCAGCAGAATAAATACCTACAACAGCCGTCTCTCCGTCATACTTTTGTCATGACTCTCCCTTGTGCAGCCTACCCCGAGTCTCCCCAGAACGGCTGGCACGACGTCACTGTCTGGTCCAGCTCTGGCTACGTGCGTTTGGGGTTTCCCGTCGCTCCCCGCATGCACGTCCTGCTGTACAGCAGCCCTTTCTGTAGGCACGTCCCCTGCCCTCCTTACCTGCCCTCTCTCCACGCGTCTGACACGCGGATGGGCCGGCAACTGGGAGGGCACCTGGACTGGGGGGGGGCGACACCGGGCAGGGGCTGGGGCCAAGGCCCACCGGGCCAGGAGGGAGCAGCCTGGCGGCAAACACTCGGCTTGGCCAACAGGCCCCGAGAGAGAGAGAGAGAGAGAGAGGAGAGAGAGAGAGAGAGAGAGAGAGAGAGAGATCTACAAGTCAGACCCGGGAGGGGGATGTGTCAGGGGGTTGGTTTTGCTGGACTCAGAGCTACGAGCTTCAGGTGCCTGGAAGGAGATTTTAGTGCTTTCAGACCCACATTTCAGAGGTTTGCTCTGGAAGGTTTGCCGGGAGCTGGGCTGAACGAAGCTCCTGCGGGGCTGGGGGAGCAGAGGGAGGACTTCCCACTAGTCCAAGTGTGTTAAATACCTTCAGGCCAGTGACTGAGGCACCAGAGGAGAGGCCCTCTCAGGCCCGCTCTTTTCTTTTCCTTTTCTTTTTTCTTTTTTTTCTTTCTTTTTTCTTTTCTTTTCTTTCTTCTTTTCTTCTTTTCTTTTCCTGTTCTTTTTCTCTTCTCTTCTTTTTCTTTCTTTTCTTTCTTTCTTTCTTTCTTTCTTTCTTTCTTTTTCTTTTCTTTCTTTCTTCCTTCCTTCCTTCCTTCCTTCTTTTCTTCCTTTTATGTTCTAGAAATATTTTTACCATTAATCATACACTAGTCAACATTTGTTGAACATTTCATATGTACTGCCTCATGCTAGTCACAGGGAATGATCTTTTCAGCTCAAAGACCAGACTAAGTGGTCTGCATTTTTCCTGCCCCAATTTTCACCCCTTGTGTTCTATGGACATCTCAGGCCCTTTCTGAGGAAGCTGATTCTAGGAAGCAGAAGGAGAGAGCAGTGTGCGGGGCAGCCCGGCCGGGGCTGGGGAGCCTGGGGAGCCATGAGGGCATTGAAGGTGGCACTGAGCGGGCCCATGCAATTCTTGGTGTCACTGCACACAGTCCACACCCTGGGCTTGGGCTTTCGGATCACCTGTGTTGGCTCAGCCTGGGGGGCAGTGTGGAGCCCAGCTTTCCCTGAAAGAGCCTCTACTCTCTTAGCTGAAGGGGGGTCTGGTTCTCAGAGGAAGTTGAGGTGAGAGGGGCACCTCCATAGGAGTCTTCTGTACTGTGAAGCCAGGAGAGTCCCGAGGAACGCAGGCTAGCCAGCCCCGAGGCCCCACAGAGCCTGCTCCACTGATGTGGGTTCCCCAAATCAGGCGCAGGGAGAGAGGGAGAAGTAGGCTCTTCCCAGGTCACTCTGCACCCGAGAGACCCAAGGGGATGGTCATGCTGGCCAGACAGTGCGGGGGAGATGTGTGGGAATAAGGGACAAGTAAGCCGCCATGGCTTTAAATAGGGTGTAGGATTTATGCGTCGTGGGCTTTTGCCCAGATGCCTCCAGATCCCAGTGAGGAACCACATCTGAGGAAGATGGAGGCCAGGGCAAACCAGGTTTGGATTTGACCTCAGCCACGTTCATTACTTCAAAGACACCTTCCCACCACTGGAGCTACTTGAAGGCAGCAGCTGGACCACATCTGTGAATCCCACCTAGCACCGTGGCAGGCGTGTAGTAGGTCTTTTTCTTCATTTCATCTGTTTCCTTCCTATTCCACAGCCAAAGCTCATCTCAGAAAAAGATGGCCTCATTCACACTGGGGTATACACGAATGATAACAGCTTAAAGCATTATTTGCATAAAGCATTATTTTAGTAAAGCACCATTTGTGCCTCTTTTTAAAAGAGGAGACAGAGAAATGAAATTATCCCATGAGGGCGGGCACGCTGTATCTGTGTCGAAAGCCGGTTGTGGTTGTGAGGTAGAATAATGAGGGTGTGTGTGTGTGTGTGTGTGTGTGTGTGTGTGTGCGCACCTGTGCACATGGGAGCAGTGCCCATATGAGCACCTGCTCCCGACCCCCTGCACCGCGCCCACCCCGTCAGCATTCCACAGGGCCGCACTCTTGGATTTCATGTGTTCACTCGTTCCGTCTTCCTTTGCAGGGTTCTACGTGCAGGAGATGGCTGATGCGAGCGCGGCCAAGCTGTACTCGGGGCTGCTGGGGGTCGGGGACGAGATCCTCGAGGTCAATGGGGCCAAGGTCGCAGGACTGGGCTTGGCTCACATTAGGGAGCTCCTGGCCCACGCAGAGAATTTGTCAATCCGTGTGCTGAGGCAGAGGCCTGTCCCTCGGTGACGCACAGGTGCTTGTGCCCTCACTGCCACCCCCTCAGAAGCCCTGTACTGCCCCAGGAGGGCCGGCTGGAAACGCACTGCACAAAGCTGCATCGTGGACCCAGACAGGTCACAGTGTCGCGTGACCCCTTAGGCTGCGGCAGGGCCTCAGTGAGGGCAGGAGCCTGTCGCTGTGTTTTGTTCAAGGATGTTAATTTATGCCGAACTGGGGAAAGAAAACAGGGATCCCCTTCTGTGCCAGAAGCGGTGTCAGCATCTTTTTGTACCTTTGTGGGTAGGGGGAGGAGAGAGATTCAGGGGTACCTGGGTTAGCCCCTGCTTGACTCCTCACCCCACTCTCTATCAGGGCCCCCACACTCCAGAACCAAAGAAGGTGCTTGGCCATATTGGCCTTGAGCCTGCCTTTAAATCTCATTTCTTCCATGTCCCATTCGACACCTTTGCTTTCCTTCTGGAAACTGGAATATGTGGCCTGGTGGGAGATCATCCGGGAGACGTTATCTGGTAGCCAGGATATTAAGACTCCGGGAAATTTTTGTGAAATATAAGGTTGAAGGGAGAAGACACTGAAACCAAGACCAATTTCAGGGAAGTGCTGCCGGGACCAGTGGGACTGCCCAGGGGAGGCTGGCGCTGGCGGTGAGGGCCCATCTTCCTTCTCCCGTGCAGTGTGCGCACAGGCTGCAGCGGGTGCCAGGCTGTCCCCAGCCACAAGCTCTCCGCCCAGAGTCCCTGGTGGCAGCTGCGGGGGGACCAACAGGGAGAGCAATCACAGGGTACAGGCAGGGGCATGGGCTGTCCCACCTGGGTGGTTCCCTGCGCTAGGGGTTGGGACTCTCTGGGAATGAATGGCTGTATGTCAGTCTTAAATTATTAAAAAGCAAAGATGAAGCTTTTCTCGCTCCGAGTCGCTGAATTCTGGGCTGGATGCTCGCTTGTTCTTGAATGGCCAAGAGCAGGGGGCAGGGGTGGGGGAACAGGGAGGGAGGACACGAGCACAGCAGTTAGCTGTCTTGGGCTGGCAGAAAAGAAGGTTGGGGCGGTCACCCCGGGGTTGGGGTGACAGCCAGGGTAGATGCAGAAGCCTCCAGAGTCCTTTGGCTGGGAGAGGAGCCTTGGGCAAGATGCATTTCTGAACAGAAGACAGGATGGAGCTAGGGGCTATGCGTAGGTGATGCGGTTGGGGGTGCAGAGGGCAGCTTCAGGGCTGTTCTAGAACTTGGTAAACATACAGCCTTCGCTAAAATGAGTGGCCTATGTGGCCTGAGGGGAAGGTGGTGCGGGGCCTGGAGGGGGGAGGGGTTGCGGAAGAGGAGGAACAAGTGTTTGGGCCTGCAGGGGGAAAGAGGGTGCTGGGACATCTCGGAGAGCAACCTGGGCCTCCCAAACTTGGGAATGGCCCCATGTCAGAAACTACAGTCATGGGGAAACACTGGCGGCTCCTGTACCCCAGGTCCTGGCCTTGAGGTCATGAAACTTTGGCGAAGCTTCCTGTTGAACTAACGCTTCTAGGGGTAAAGGCGCCTCTGTTTTCTCTGCGTGGTGATCATGGACAACGTGCCTTTCCAGCTCCAGCTGGGAAGAAAGGGAAGAAGGGCTCCAGCCGGGGCCTGGGAAAGGTCTCTAAGGAATACTGAGCATCTGCTTCTATTACCTCCCCGGGGGCAGGGGCAGGCTCCCACACATCTTGTTCAGTTCTTAAAAATAGACCCGCCAGGTATGCTCTGTGTCTCGTCTTCCTTTACACAGATGGAGAACCAAGTGGGGCGACAATGACAGGGCATTCAGACCTGGTCTCTCTGACTCAGGGCCCGCTCCTCCTACTGCTGCCACCCCTTCCACACCCCCCAGAAAAGCTTGACAGAGGGTAGTAGACACTCTGGCCTGTGTGCAAAGTAGCCCTGGGCTTGTTGAGTGAAGTGGTGCCGGGGGTCCTGACTTGTGTGGGTCGGGGGACGTTCATTCCCCCGGACACCTGTCTGACCATCCCAATCTGCTCTGCCTGGGGAGCTGCTAATCAGGTTAGTCCTGTGTCACCCACAAAACCATCAGAACGTTCCCACTTAGAACCTAGTGTGTTAACCTGGAGCCAGGCCCTGCGACAGACAGGAGCTCAGGGAGGTGATAAGGCCCGGCTCCAGCAGCTACAGGGTAGGGAAGACACAGACGTTACTGCAGGTGTGGGCAGCAGGAGGCTGGTGCCTGGTGCAGCCTGGGGTAGATCACCCGAGGGCTGGGGGAGGGAGGCTTGCCCACCGGGGCACCCACGCAGGGTTTGTGACACCAGCAGGAACCTACAGGAAGGATGGGGGAAAGGACATTGGTGCATAGAAGATAAGCAGCACGTCAAAGGTGTGGCTTTTTCCTGTGTCTGACCCAGGACCCGCACCCCAGCCCACGCAGAGGATAGGTATTGTGGGCCAAGCTCTCTGCAGAGGGGCCAGACTTTGGGCCTCGGAAGAACAGAAAGTGGCTGGAGCCCGGGCCTCAGACAGGGTGACGGGGGTGGGGAGGTGGGGGGCGACCAGGAGGCGACTGCGCAGCTCCAGGGGGGAACTTGCTTGTCCTGGCAGCACAGGCGTCTCTGTCGCCCTCGGCTCAGTCGCCCTCTACTCCCGCTGCCCAGCCTTTGTCGCGCACCCCCACCCTCGTCCCGTCCCCCCGTCCTTCCAGGCCCATTAGAGCCCTGGGATGGCTGGAGCTGGAATCCGCCAGAGGCTGGGGGGTGTGTAACCCCCCCACACCCCAGCCTCTGGTAGATTCCCCAACACACTTGGGACACCTACTGGGCGCTGACTGGCCCCCACTTTGTCCTCCAGGGGCGCTCGGCTGGGGGGACGGGGAGAGGACAGCCCGGAGGCCTGCCTGGTGATGGCGGATGGGATGGAAGCCAGGTGACTGCGGACAGCACGTGTTGGGGGACGGGGGTAGCGCGGGAATGGGGACCCCGTGTGTGCTGTGTCCCGAGTGTCAGGCAAGGATACCGCAGTCACCACTCGGAGTTCGGGAATCCAGGTTGACTCGGGACGAACCGTGGCTGTGCCCTCCCCCAGCCTGCGCTGTCTGCACCTCGGATGCTCCGCAGCTCGGATGGGGACGTCAAAGATTCAATGCTGAATCCTTCCAGCAACTCTGCGAGGGAGGCAATACTTCTCTCCAGGTTACAAACTAGGGCCCGAGATTCAGGCTAAAAATTACTTAACCAAGGGCACAGCGCAAGTGGCTAGCGGAGGTTGCATTTGCACCCGGTCCTCTGTGACTCCCAGCCACAGTGCGTCCTCCCTCCTGGGGCCCTGTGGGGCTCACCTCATCCGGAGGCCCTCCAGCACCCCTCCCGGCACTCACAGATGGTAGGGCGCAGGGGGCCCCGGGCTCCGGGCTGGGCCCACCCCACTGCTGACCTTCACCAGGGCGGGGTGTGGGGCGTTCGCTTCAGTTTTTCTTCAGGGAATTGGCTTTGGTGCTCCCAGCTCCCCTCGGTAGGTGGGGGGACCGGGGTGGGGGGGGGATCACTTTCCAGAACAGTGTTTCCTAAATGCAGGCGTAACCCACTCATGGGTCGCAAAATCTACTTCGTGGGTGGAGACCAACATTTAAAAACCATCAGAGATTCATTGGCACAAGCAAGTGTAGATCTTGTTTGACAATCGCCTCTTCCGGGGTGGGGGTAGGGGGTGGCAGGGCTGTCCTGAGTTGTAATTTAAAGGGTCCTCACGACCCTGGACCCTGCTCCAGAGTGCAGGGAAACACACGCCCTGGGGGCCGAGGCCCGAGGCCCGGGGAGGCGGCCTCCCCACTCCGCGGGGACCCCTTGGGTGGTTCACTGCTCAGGAGGCTGCGGGGACCTTCCTGGACTGCGCTGCCCCACCCCTGGGGGAAGAGGCACCCTTGATCCCACATCCTTGTCGCTGAGAGGCCCATGTCCCAGAGTCAGGGAGAATGCTGTGACCGCACTTCCTAGTGCTCCAAACCGGCCCGGTGCTGTGGGATTCCGGGTATTTATGGGCAGGAGCAGGGGCTGTTCGTTCAGGGGTCCGGCCACGCCCCTACCCACGCACTCACCCACCTCGCGCTGCTTACCCTGTGCCTTTGCTGGAACACCCTTCCCCTTGTCCACCTTGGCTGCCTTCAAAAACGTTAGGGGTGCCTGTCCTGGGCAGCATTCCGGGACACCTGCATGCTGACTTTGGCCCCCATCCCTTAGCTCCCTATAATCGGGTACAAGCGGTCTTTATCGCGGCTCTTTTCAAATAGAATTTCTTGCCTATCCTCCACCAAACTCACCTGGCAACAACTGGATTTCCCTGGTCCATCTGCTCAACCCAGTTCCCACCCCAAATCCCCAGGCTGGTTCTGGAGCCATTCAGAAGGCCCTGCTGTCACCGGGTCCCCGTCCTCCCCTCCCTCCCTCCCACAGAGCCAGAGCACCTGCTTGGAAATGGCCACAGCCTTCCCTGGCAAGCAGCTCTGCCCAGCTTTCACAGGCTGTGGGCCCGGCCGGGTCGGCGGGCTGGGCCCTGGGAAGGGGCTGCTGGCATTGGCTCGGAATCTCTGCCCACGGAGCCAGCTTCAACAGCTGCCCTGCCAGGCCTGGAGGACATCCGGGGCTCTCCTGCGGATGCCCGGCTGCCCGCTGGGCCCGCCTTTGTCTTGTCCTTCTGCAATCTGGGCTCAGGCCCGACTCGCAGTGTGGGGCTGTCCTTAGGGGCCTGGCCGGGAGCCAGGTACTGGGGAGAGGCCCGCCCTGCCCTCGGGTTGCCCGTGTCCCCAGGGTGGAGACAGCTACAGCTGTGAAGAGAGACAAACCAGTGTGCCAAGGGCTGCAATGGAAGCCCCAGGCAGGAGGCCCCACTCCACCTGGGGAGCAGAAAGGCTTTCCAGAAGAGCGAGCCGGGGGCTCACCAGCCCGGTGTTACCCCGGGAGCAAGGAATGCGGACGCTCGCGGGCGATCGCCGCAGCAGATGCCACAACTTTGATTCTCACCCTGGGCTCCTCAGGCTGCGTCTCCAGGTTCTTCTGAGTTCATATAGTGAGTTTGGCTCCCTTACTTTTTTGCACATTTCCAGCCAAAGGAAAGCTCCAGAACATTTTATCAGCGAGGCTAACCTGCTCGAGGTCCTCGACTAGTGGATCTCTTGAACCCTATGGCGGGCATGCGACGCGGTCCAGTCCAAGGCACCTGGTGACCGTGGCTTATCCTCGGCACTTCCAGCTCAGCGCTGTAAGCCGCCGCGAACTCACACCGCAGCTCTTTTGATTCCTCGTCCCCTCCTCAGCTGTTACCTTCTCTGGTTAGAAAGCGGAGCGAAATGCTGGCCACTACCCAAACCTGAGTGGCGCTGCTTTTTCTGTGGAGGGAGGCTGGCCTCCACGGTCCAGTCAGCCCTGGTCCTCATCCTGATGCTCCACTTCCTCACTGAACTCTGATTACTCCATGCCTGTTTTCAGGTAGAAAGTGGGCCTCCATGGGATTTCGCCCACGGGGTTGTGGGAATTCAGTGGAGACAGAAATTTCACTCCTCATCATGTCCCTGATGCCTGGGTCAAACACACGCCAGCCCATCAGATTCTCATGACAGTTGGCTGAAGTTTTAGCTGCTAATTAGATACATTTGAGAAATTTGTTCTTGTAAGAGTTGACGACCCCTTGTAAGAGTGACAACCTTAATGTGAACCTTTGTGAAAGCATCTGATGGTTGATGGTGTGGTGAGCAAAGGGAGTATCACTGCAGAAGTCAGAAAGGTTGGATTTGGATTTCTCACATCCAAGCTTCCGGAGCACATCACCTGCTGAGAGATCAGGTTGGTGCGGATGTCTGTGCTCAGGCTCTGCCGGCATCTGCACCAAACGGAGGCGCCACTCATGCTCCAGCTGTGTCATCTGGTTAGA